CTTAATGTTGTTTTCTTCAGTCTCTGAGTACATTGGTGTTCAGTAGATAAAAATTTATTGACTTTGATGCATTCATGAATGAACGAGTGAGGAAGTTACTCTGTGTGGCTGAATAAAGACTACCAGTGGAATGCTAATTCTAGCAAAGGTGCAATCATGCTAACCTTTGGGGCAAAACATTTTTCATTTACATATTGTAGTTCATTTGGAAAAAGTAGAAAGGAATACAAGAAATCTCTTCATTTAGAAGTAGCGAATACTCCGTTTTGATTCCTTGCAGATTCTCAGTGTTGGTTCTTGTCTGAGGCTGGTCTCCAGCTGTAATCTGACTTGCCCCTAAATTCACTGTTGAATGTCGTGCATGTGCAAATCCATTATAGGAATGGAATAGTTCTGTGTGTTTTAAAGAAGATTTGTGTATTTTTATTGGAAAGGCAGATTTCCATAGAGTAGCATTCCAAGGCTTTGGCCATCCTCCTCTGCTCTCGCAGGCCACAAGCAGGGAGTTGGATGGGAAGTGGAGCAGCCGGGATACCAGCTGGTGCCTGTGTGGGATCCCTTACAGTGCTTGCAAGGCTAGGATTAATCAGTGGAACCATTGTGCTGGGCCCCAGAATATTTTTATTATGAAAGTTTTCTTTTCCCTTCTGCCTCGTTTCAAGTTAATTGGCCAACTGAACCCAAGAGCACGAGGCATCAAGCACTGGTTGGCCCCCAGTTACCTGCACACTAGGGCTGGGCCAGGCCAAAACCTGGACACAGGAATGCCATCACTTCGTCCTTCCAGAATGTATTATCAGGAAGCTGGGTTGAAAATGGAGGTGGGCTTCACTCCTAGGCAGTTTGATATGGGTTGCTGGCATCCAAAGTGGCTGGTTAACCTGCTGTACCACAAAGCTTGCTCCTGCATGAGTATAAAGCAGCATTTTCTGCTATGGAGTCCAGTTAAAATATTTTCCTGACTATGCATCATTTATAAATTGTTCACTATTGCTTTATTTAAGGTTCACAGTTCATTTTTAGATTTTAAAAAAATATTTATTTATTTATTTTTGGAAAGTCAGATGTACAGGGAGAAAGATCTTCTATCTGTTGATTCACTCCCCAAGTGGCTGCAGTGGTCAGAGCTGAGCCTATTAGAAGCCAGGAGCCAGGAGCTTCTTCCGGGTCTCCCACACGAGTGCAGGGTCCCAAGCCTTTGGGATGTCCTAGATTGGTTTCCCTAGGTCACATGCAGGGAGCTGGATGGGAAGTGGGCCACCTGGATTAGAACCAGTGCCAATACTGCACTGGGCTCCATTTTTAGATTTCCTACACATTACGCACTAAACTGTTTGTGTCATTGTGGTAAGAAGTAACTGGTCTGTAGCTGGTACACATTGGGCCACTTCTTGCACTGTTTGACATCTCTTATGGGTACTGGTTTGAGTCCTGACTGTTGCGTTTCAGATCCGGCTCCCTTCTAAATTATCTGGGAGGGCTGCACCGATGTGGGGAACCCCAAGGAGTCTAATGGCTCCTGGCTTCCCTATGGCTCGGCCCAGCTTTGCAGCCATTTGGGGAGTGAACTAGCAGATAGAATCAATCTCTCTCTCTGCTTTTCAAGTAAATAAAATAAATCTTAATAAAAGAAATAAGTATAGTCTGACCAAATAATGTTGTCTTTGGGAATAGGAAGTGTTATTTTCTTTTGTTCCTTTTTCTTTTAAGATTTATTTTATTTTTATTGTAAAGTCAGATAACAGAGAGGAGGAGAGACAGAGAGGAAGATCTTCTGTCCAATGATTCACTCCCCAAGTGACCGCAACGGCCGGTGCTGCGCTGATCCGAAGCCAGAAGCCAGGAACCTACTCCGGGTCTTCCACGTAGGTGCAGTGACCCAAGGCTTTGGGCCATCCTCGACTGCTTTCCCAGACCACAAGCAGGGAGCTGGATGGGAAGTGGGACTGCTAGGATTAGAACCAGCACCCAAGTGAATTCCTGGTACATTCAGAGCAAGGACTTTGGCCGCAAGGCTATTGCACCGGGCCTTTGGAAATATTATTTTCTTGATGTGCTAAGAGTCTCATGGGTTAAAAACTGCAAAAGACAATGTGATTTTAACTTGCTCCCAAAATGATAAAGTTCTAGCAAATTTATTTAAATGAAGCTACTGATTTAAAATATTTTACATTTATTTGTTTTTTTTCACTTCATTTGAAAGGCAGAGATGGATGGATAGATAGATTGATAGTTAGGATCAGCTGGTTCACTTTAAAAATATATATATATATTTTATTGGAAAGTCAAATATACAGAGAGGAGGAGAGACAGAGAGGAAGATCTTCCATCTGATGATTCACTCCCCAAGTGAGTGCAATGGCTGGTGCTGTGTCCATCTGGAGCCAGGAGCCAGGAACTTCCTCCAGGTCTCCCATCTGGATGCAGGGTCCCAAGGCTTTGGGCCGTGCTCGACTGCTTTCCCAGGCCACAAGCAGGGAGCTGGAAAGGAAGTGGAGCTGCCGGTATTAGAACTGGCACCCATATGGGATTGCAGCACGTTCAAGGTGAGGACTTAAGCCACTAGGCCATGGCGCCAGGCCCAGCTGGTTCACTTTTCAAATGGCTGCAGCAGCCAGGGCTGGGCCAGGCCAAAGTCTAACAAAGAACTCGGTCAAACATGGAGGAGGTAAGACTTGACCCAGGCAGTGTCCTTGACTGCTGCACCCAGTGCCTGTTCCCATTTTATTGTTTTGTGATAGAGCTCTGATAATTAGAGGCATAAAGCCTTGAATCTTTGAAACTGTCTCCCTAGTTAACAGTCATCAAAATTAAAGTGCCTAGAGGGTGACAATTTTACTTTTCTGCCACGAATATTGGGAATGCGTTTGTTTCAAGTTATTTGTTCACATATCCTTATTTGCTTTTTTAGTATTTAAACCTTTTGTTTTTTTTCTTAATTGGATTGGAATACTGAATTATGTTAACAATGTAAGTGAAGGATGCAATCTGGCAGTTAAAATGAACCCTAGTAGAAGAGGAGTAGAAAAAGAAAGTGATGAAATGCTTGACCTATTAATGATAGAAAGGTCAACCTCCGTTGGAGGACAGTACATCTCCACAATCTGTGTACAGGTCAGTGGATCCCCTGCGTGTGAGTGCAGGTCAGTGGGTCTTCATGTGTGGGTAGAGGTCCGTGGAACCCCACGCAGGTGGATGTAGGTCAGTCGGTCCTCACCTGTATGCATACAGATCAGTGCATCCCCATGTATGTGGGTAGAGATCAGTAGTTTTTGCATGTAACTTTTTTTTTAATGTTCTTTTGATTTTTTTTTAACGTTTCAAGGAGGAAGGAGCTCATTGGACAACATATTAGGTGGCGTGTTTATCTCTTTTTGTTGGAGTAGATTTTGTTTTTCAGATTTAATGGTGAAGAAATTGCAATTTTTAAGTTTTGAATCTGTACAAATTCTCCTTCACCTAACTGGCTGGTATTGTGAAATACTGTTGTCTGGTGACAAGGATCGGACAGGAGGCATTACTTGGTTTGGGGCTACCTGTATTACCTGTCACCAATATAATTTAGCTTTTATGAGCCTCTTGTCCTCACCTCGGAGATGGGTTTGAGAATATTCTTTGCTCTCCCCCACTATATTACTTTTTTTAAAAAACATGTATTTATTTTTATTGGAAATGCAGATTTAAAGAGACAAGAATAGACAGAGAAAAACATCTTCCATTGGCTGGTTTACTCCCCAAGTAGCTGCAACGGCTGGAACCAAGTCAATCCATAGTCAGGATCCAGGAGCTTCTTCCGGGTCTCCCACGTGGGTGCGGGGTTCCAAGGCTGTGGGCTGCCCTCTACTGCTTTCCTAGGCCACAGGCAGGGTGCTGGATGGGAGGAGGAGCATCGGGGATACGAGCTGGCACCTACATGGGTTCCAGGTGTGTAGCCACTGAGCCATTGTGCTGGGCCCCCTGCTTTGCTTTAGAGGGCAGAGAAGGCAGGGATGGGGCAGCTGTCACAATTCTGGGCTCCTGCCAGGTTCCTTTGCACCTAGGGATCCTGTTAAAATGAAGATTCTCATGTAGTTGGGGTGGGGCCCAGATCCTGCATTCCTGATGAGCTCCCAGATGGTGTTGCAGCTCCAGGCCCACACTCCCCCAATTTGAAAAGCCAGGTGCAGTTGGAAGCTGTGGGTTGTGAAGTGGGACATTTTTCTCCCAAGGAGAACAGCTGTCCACCTCAGTATGGAATTTCCTAACACTGGTGCAGCTGACATGGGTGCCCAGTGTGGGCAAGGTGCAGGTGCCTCAGGCCCTGGGGTTTTTACATGGGTTCTTGAGTGTCTGGAACAGCGTTCCAGGGCCCCTGGATCACAGAATCCATGGGTGCACACATTGCAGTAACCACACACATTCTACAGAGCTCTCTCAACAGTCTCTGGGGTGTGGACACTGACGTAGAGAGGAGGGGTACAGTGTGATGGGGAGGCAGCTGGGGAGGTGGTAGGTCTGAGAATAGAGAGGGTTCCACGGGCAGTTTTGTTTTGTGCTGGAGCCAACACTCCCATTGAGCCATTCATCTGCATAGCAAGGGCTCAGGGTCCTCCTGGTCCTCCATAGCTCCCTCTGCTGCGTCCACCGCCCTCCTCCTTCAACTTCCTCTTTCTGAAGTGCTATGCCACTGTACTTCTAGGAAGGAAAAAAAAAAATAAAGTATGAGGGACTTAACTTCAACTTTACATTATTTTAACTTCAGATAACATTTTTTCCTCCTGATTGAGACAAGTTTCATTTCCTCAAGTGTGAAAAAGTTGATGTGCATGAATATTTGTGCATTACATCTTTTAATGTTTCTTATTGATCACCCGTCTTTCTCTCGATTGAATGTCATAGGGCTTTTTTTGTTTTGATCACTGATCTATCTCAAGCCTGGTGCATAGTAGCTTAGTTGACTCAGTTTGGATTGGAATGACTTGCTTGCATTTCTCAGTGGCTATTTTCTCTTCACCCTCCAGATGTTTATTCATTTCAAGAAGAGGAGCCCGTGTTGGATCCTCACTTGGCCAAGCACTTAGCGCATTTTGGAATCGACATGCTGCACATGCATGGGGTGAGGAGCTCTGTCTCATTGTGGGGTGGGAGGGGGAGGGAACTGCTCACTTCAATGTACCGTTCTTGGAACATAGACCTTTTATTTTATAGGTTTTATGTTTTAATGGTAGCAGTCACTTCTTGAATTAATTAGCATTTTCTTTGGCTGTCCTTCTGATTTTTTGCCCCGTGTGTGTGTGTGTTGTGAGCAAAATGCCACCTTATGCAGGACCATTTTGTCTAGTTGCAGAGTTTCTGCCTCCTGTGATTGGACAATTGCATGAATCACTGTGTTCACCACAGGGAGAAGGTATGGGGAGATGACCTTTAAAATGAACTTCAGCAAGGGAAGCCCAGTTCCTAGGGATGGAAACAATAAGACAACACCATACTGTTGGTGGAAAAGCTTTGCTTCTTTGAATACTGTGTTTTCCAGTAGAGATCACGACCATGCATAGTTTTTGCGGTTCCAGTTAAATGTATGTGTTTAACCCTTTCCACCCAAGCCATCTCTGTTCCCTCAAGTTCTAATTTTCTTTCTCTCTCCTACCCACCTTTGCACTTTTCCCCCCCTTCTTTAGATTTATTCCCCTTCAAGGCCCGCCCAAAGCACATGGTTTTTATCCGACCTTCTAGTCCCATTGCTGTACCTTTTTGTCTCTTGACAATCATCTACTTGCTGCTTTTTATGATCCTCTTTGTCTTTCATTCTCCTCCCATCTTCTATCAGTTTTTCTCTCTCCTAAACAATCCTTAAAATGTGCTTACCTTTTTATTGTGTTACAATAGACATAGCATGAAATCTACCATTTTAGCTATTTTTAAACACTTTCTTAACTGAAAGGCAGAGTTACAGAGAGAAAGGGAGAAGCGCGCGCGCGCACACACACACACACACACAGATATCTTTAGTCTGTTGAATCATTCTCCAGGTCATCACAGTGGCTGGGCTGAGCCTGGCTGAAGCCAAGAGCTTCATCCAGATGTCTCACAGGGATTATCTTGTGCTATTTTCCCAGAGCATTAGCAGCGAGCTGGATCGGAAGTGGAGCAGATTGGACTTGAACCAGCCAGTATTGCAGGCAGTTGCATGACCCACTGTGTCACAATGGCAGCCCTGTATTTTAGCCACTTTTAGTGTACGATTCACATTTATAAATAAGTACATCACTTTCTTTTCTTTTCTTTTTTTTGGTGCAACCATCACCATTTTTTGGTCTCTTGTGTATAGATTGCCTTTTTCTTTATGTATTTGGGGGAAAATGGCAGAAACAGCTGTTAATATTAGAAATAACTCATGGGATGTGATGCTGGAGTGGGGGCAGTTTAAAAATTGTCTTCCTCCATGACTTTGCCCCAGACAGAGAATGGGCTCCGGGACAATGACATCAAGCCCAGGGTGAGCGAGTGGGAAGTGATTCAAGAGTCGGGCACGAAGCTGAAGCCCATGTACGGCCCCGGGTACACGGGTCTCAAGAACCTGGGCAACAGCTGCTACCTCAGCTCCGTCATGCAGGCCATCTTCAGCATCCCAGAGTTCCAGAGAGCGTAAGTCCCCCACAGACCAGGCACCTGCGACCGCCCACCAGGGGGGATGCTCTTCTTTATGGGATCGGTGATAAACACAACACTGTAAACTAAAAAACACCCGAGGGGTTCGTTAAGATTAATGTCAGCTTCTGCTCTCAGCCCATCACTTGATGTGTCAAGAATATACTAATGATTAATCTTCACAGCAAGCCTGCCAAACGCTTTTTAAGGTGAGCCAGGAGGGATGCAGGGACGTGTTCGGCTCGTGTCTGCTTCTTGGGTTTCTGGTGGAGGAGCATTGCTTAGAGAATTTAGGGTTTTCATTTCCACTACTCGGGGTGTGGTCTGCAGCCTGGGACTGGCCCCAGACTAATAAGGATTTTTTTTTGTAGCACTTGCACATTGTTGTGTCTTGCAAGTGGCATTTCTTTTTATTGTATTTTAAAAAGGCCTCATCAGTATGAGTTGAACTAAATGGAAAAGCTGGCATTTCCCTACAGATGCTCAAGGAGGCATGGATTCAGGGTGCTTCCCAGTCGCGCACTAGGCTGCCTTCCCTGTCCTGGGCAGAACGGCACAGTGGACCTGTCTCTGTGCCCGTTTTCTTCTTTGGATTGTACCCGACACAGGGTGCCACAGAGCCCAGGTGCTGTGCTGGCGCTCGGCCGCCATCTGGATGTAGAAAACCATCTCTAGTGTGTCTAGAGGGGGCGATTCTTACTTTGGCTTGAGCGTGAAAGAGCGTATCTTTGTGCCAGAACAGACTGTGGGCAGACAGCGTGCTGGGAGCAAGCACAGGCCAACATTTACCGCCATGGAGCTGAGATCCATGAACGTGAATGTGGTCAATCAGAAGAATGCCAGTTAGCCTTTTCTTTCCTCTCCTGGTATTTGAATAATTCTTTCTTGTTGCCAGTTTCTGGGTTTGAGAGTGTATGGTTAGTTTTCTATGTTCGTTTTTTCATCAGCCAGTAAGGAATGAATTCGGTTTTGCTTAGTAGGTTCAGGAGCGGGGTCTTCATTTTGGAACTAGAAATAGTAACACACAGAAATATTAGAAGGCTTAAAGACAGCCTTGGTATAAGTCGGGAATGACAACCAGATTCGCAGTTTCTATGTGCCAGTTGAACCTGGTTTACATTGAAAGTGTTTAAAATTTGTTTGAGATGGGTGTGTGGGTCAGTGGATAACAGAAAGATGATGGACTCCTGTTCCTTCCCCACCCCTTCTTGGAATGAGTAATTACTGAGGGAAATAGACAATAAGTAGAAACTGTATGGCTCTAAGTCTGTGAAGGAAAAGGGAAAGAGGCGGACAGAAAAGACCCCCTGGGAAGAGGGCATGTGCCTGATGTAGGTGTGGGGCACTGAGGCTGAGGTCTTGGACAGAGAGCGGTGGGGCTCCAGGGCGGGGCGCAGGGTCCCTTTGCAAAGGTTTGCATGCTGCATGGTAGTATTTTTATCCTTGTATTATTGATTGATTGGGGGAACAGTGTATCTTTATCTTGTATGACTCCTTGCTCCAAGATCTTTTTTGAAAATGTTGAAGCAGTGTCCTTTTGGTAGATGTTGTGGGTTGATCTGTACTGGAATGTGTTCTTGTCTCCCAAAGGCCATAACATTTTTATTGTTTTATAATCTATACCTGAAAAAAAAATGCTTTCTACGCTCCAAAGTGAGGTAGACCTTTTCTTTAATGAAAACTACGACTCACAGCTGTGGTTTGAATTTGAGAGTTAAAACTCTCCTTGGTCTTGTTTCAACAATTTTAGAATTTTATTTATTATTGAATATATCATATTTTCTAAACATTTACTATAGATATTAGAAAAGGAGTACTTTAGTATTAATGATCATCCTTATTTTTATCATGTTTTGATAAATATCACCAGCCTGAAATACAAAGATATTTTTCAAAAGTTTTGGAAATATGGTTTATTTTGGAGCATTTAAAAATAAGCAACTTTTTTTGATAAAGTATCTTCAAGAACTTTTTAGACTCATGTGCATGGATTTCAAAATTTTTTGTATCAAATAAACATGTTTTAATTCTATTTTTGATGACCTTTTTGAAGCATGCTCTTATTTTTTGAACTGCTTCTTCTGCAGCCAGCTGACTCAGAGTTAGGTTCAGGAGCAGGGTCTCCATTTTAGGATTAGAAATAGTGACTCACAGAAATGTTATACGGCTTAAAGACAGCCTTGGTGTAAGTGGGGAATGACGACCTGATTCCCATTTCCTTGTGTGCTGATCGAACCTGGTTTACATCAAAAATGGTTAAAATTATTTCAGAGGCAAAGAAGGACACACACACACATACACATACAGAGAGAGAGAGAGAAAGGGGGTGGAATCCCCATCTTCTGATTCGCAGTCCAGATGTCCACAGTGGTTGCACTGGGCTGTGTGGAAGCTGGGAGTAAACCCCAGCTCTCCTGTGTTACAGCCTTTCGTGAGCCGTCGTTGCTGCCACCCAGGGAACCAAATCCAGGTGCTATGATGTAGGATGCATTTTTTTCTTTTTCTTTTTTTTTTTTTTTTTATAAACAAGGTGTATCTATTTTCACTGGGAGGTCAGATACACAGAGAGAAGGAGAGATGGAGAGATGGAGAGAAATATCTTCATCTGCTGGTTCACACCCCAAGTGACTGCAACATTTGAAGCTGAGGTGATCTGAAACCAGGAGCCAGGAATCTCTTCTGGGTCTCCCACTGGGTGCAGGGTCCCAAGGTTTTGGGCCAGGCCCTGGATGCAGGCATTTATCTTAACCAGCTTCTTAACTGCTAGGCTAAACACTGGGTCTAATTTTAATAAGAATCTTGATGATGATAGCATCTAAATATATGGGCGCATCAACTGAATGACTATTAGGATGGATTGACAGTCAAACTGTATCTTTTTCTTTGGAACTGTCGGATTACAAACTTAAGGTAATATGCTTTAAAAATTGTCTAACACTAATTGTGTTATTTCAAGTTAAAATTTTATTATTATTATTACTATTTATAATTTTAAAGGTAGTTTTATAGAGAAAAGAAGGGACACAGAGAGAGCATCTTGCATCCACTGATTCATTCCCCAAATGGCTACAAGGGCCAGAGCTGAGTCATGCTAAAGCCAGGAGCCAGGAGATTTCTCTGGTTCTCCTGTGTTGATACAGGGGCCCATGGACTTGATCCATCCTTCCCGGCTTTACCAGGCCATAAACAGGGAGCCAGATTGGAAGTGGAGCAGCTGAGACTAGAACCTGTGCTTGTATTGGGATGCTGGCATTGCAAAGCAGAGGATTATCCTGTTGAGCCACTGTATTGGCCCCTTAATTTTGTAATGGAAGGTATTCCTCATAAATTAGAAAAGCAGTATAATCTTTACCAAAATGGATTCTTATGAAAGTTATTTCTTTATTCTTATATTAATATGATATTAATACAATCCTCATAACTCTGCCTTTGTCTACTAGTCTTGCCTTAAGGCATAAATCTTTTTATTAATACGCATCTTTCCTACAAAACTTCTGTCTTGTCAGTTTCCTGGCTATGATAAAAATTGGTTATAGGAGGCCCCGTGAATTCACTTCCTTTTATACTCTTGAGAATTCTTCAGTGTGACCTTGATATCTAAGTGTTTGGTTGCAAAGTTTGGTTTACCAGTTGTTTGGTTTTTGGCTTGTGAAATTTCTTGATACAGTTGTTGCCATCTGAAATCAGTTTAGCCCAGAGTAGCATGTTCTGTTAATTTTGATGTAGGTAGACAACCCGTGATACAAAATCTGAGTTTGTGGACAGCACGTGTCCAAAAGTTTCTGAGTTGAGAGATCCCAGTTGAAGTCATTGTTCAGTACTAATGTTGTGGTTCTTGGCCAGGGTTCCATTGAAGAAATGCCTTTTGTTTTTGGTTATTTTTAGTCATTCATGGAAACTGGAGATTGGTTATGTGGTTGAGTGATGTGAATGAATTCATTCAATAGGTATTTACTGAGTGCCTTTTACATGTCAGATACTGCTCTAATGCTGGAGATGCAGCTTTTAGATAGATAAAATCACTGCCTTCATGGGGATTACATCGTAGCATGTAATCTCTGGAGAAGTAAATAATAAACAAGAAAAATCACCAAATGATGCACGCTAAGAAGAAAGTCAGCAACAGGTGATGTGCAGTTGGGAACAGGAGGTTGGGCTACTCTTGCTTTGGCAGTTGAACAGACCCGAGAAGGAGCCACCCGCCAAAGATGAGTGGAGAGTATTCCAGGAGATAGGCAGCAGATGGCCTGCCCTGGAGGCAGCAGCAAGCTCGCAGTGCCCTCTGCAGCAGGACGGGCAGGTAGTGAAGGGCCAGAGAAAAGGACTTGCTTCTAGGCACTACTTCCTAGAGAACCAAAGACTAAAGGAGGAAAGAAAAGCGCAGATTGTAAAATGGTAAATGAAATAAAGAAGATAAAGGAATGCTGCAGGCCTTGTATGGTCTGCACTGCTCTGAAAGGATGACTTAGAGGAGGGACTGGAGACCACTCAAGGGCCAAGGGACTGGCAGGTACAATCAGCAGAAGCCTTACCAATGTGGTAAGGGAAGCTGCCTAATGAAGTTGTGTCTCGATTTCTCACCCTTCAGATGGGGAAAATGATAGAAACATGGTAGTAATGAAGGCTCAATATAGGAAACTCTCAGGAAATGGCAACTGCTAAGACTATCATTATTCATTTTAAAACTGTTGAAACAATTCCTACTGTTACAGAGAAAAATGACCCAGGCACTTAACATAGTGAAGAAGACGTTACTCAGGGGAGGCCAAGGCACTGGGCTTCGGGCCCATTGTAATGGGGTCTTGTGGTAGGGAAGAGACTGGGCTCAGCTTTGACTCCAAGAAGGATAAGCAAAGGTTCCTAACCAAGGAGCAAGTTGAGCTTGGGGCTGCAAACTTACAAAGAGGAGATCTGATAGAAAAAGGGGTTTCTGACCTAAACTGACATGGTAGGATTACTGCTGAAGGCAGGCTGGCATAGTCACAGACTGAGGGCAGAGTCTGTGCCCTGACTGGATTCTACAAGACAGAGGGAGGCCTAAGCCAGGCCTTGGCAAACAGCGGGCTTAGAGGAACCTGAGTGAAACTTTGGTTTAAGGAGAAACTTTTATTATTATTGTTATTATGATTATTTAAATCTTTAGAAAGGCAAAGACAGAGAGAGATCTTTCATCTGCTAGTTCAGTCCCTAAATGGCAGCCAATAGCTGGGCCAGGGAGAAGCCAGAAACTTGGAACTCCATCCAGGTCTCCTATATGGGTGGCAGGGACCTGGAACCTTAGGCCATTTTGTGTTGATTTCCCATGAGCATTCGCAGGAACACAGATTGGAAGTGAAGCTGCCAGGACTCAAACCTGTGTTCAGTGGGGTTGCTGGCATCACAGGTGGTGGTTTAAGCTGATGGGCTACAATCAGCCCCAGGGAATATGTTATAGCGACTTTGCCATTTGTTTTTAAGGTGGTGGTCATGATGACAAGAGCCAGGGCCATGTGTAGGAACCACTTAGGGGATTTTTGGAATTCCAAATTCTCAGGTCAGAACATCTCAGGGTCTCTCTAGCTGGTAATGATTAAATAAGAGCTCTTCAGAGGACTCCGACATGGAGGCCAGGGCTGGAGTCCATTGATAGAGGCATGATTGTTTTCAGCAGGGTTGTGAGCATGGCAGTAGAGGAAGTGTTTTTCTTTTCTTTTTAAAAATGTTTGTTTATTTTTACTGGAAAGGAGTATTTACAGAGAGAAGAGGATACAGAAAGTAAGACCTGTCTGCTGGTGTACTCCCCAAGTGGCTCTAATGGCCAGAACCAAATCAGTCTGGAGCCAGGAGCCAGGAGCTTCTTCCAGATCTCCCACATGGGTGCTGGAGCCCAAGGCCTTGGGCCACCCTGCGGTGCTTTCCCAGGCCATAAGCAGAGAGTTGGATGGGAAGTAGAACAGCTGGGACACAAACTGGCACCCATATGGGATCCTGGTGCGTGCATGGGCGGGGATTTAGCCACTAAGCCGTTGCACTGGGCCCAGGCAGCACTTGCATTGGGTGGCTTGATTTCCACAGTCAGGCAAGAAGAGCTTAGTGGGTGAGCAAGGTGGCTTGTTTGGGCTACGTTCTTGTCTCAGTTGCTGTGTTGTGATTGTTGCTTCTTGTTTTCTAGGTATGTAGGAAACCTTCCCAGAATATTTGACTACTCACCTTTAGATCCAACACAAGATTTCAATACACAGATGTAAGTGCCAGACAGTTAATCTTAAGTAAAACTACCCAATAAGTTTCCAAGTGGTTATTTCTGGGCTACGGAATGAAAGAAAATTCTTTTCCTTCTTCATTGTCTTTTTAAAAAAAATGTTCTAAAAATGAGCTTCTGTTAATAAGACATTAATACAGATATAAAATATTGGGAAAATTTGAAAAAAGCAATCTGCTTCTAACAGAATCAGACCTGTTAATGTTTGTGAATAATCAAGATATTCCAACCCAAAGCCAACACATTGACTGAAATTCATAGATGATTTTAACATGTCTGGGAAAACAGCAGTGACCCTTTGTTCTTGTTTCCCCCTCCTGGCCAGGACTAAGTTAGGACACGGCCTCCTTTCAGGCCAGTATTCAAAGCCTCCAGTGAAATCTGAACTCATTGAGCAGGTGATGAAGGAGGAGCACAAGGTATGTGCCTGGCGTTGGTGGGGTGGACGTCCGGGAGGAGGGCCCTTTCCTAGCAGGAGCGTGGCTCTCCTGAGATTTGCTCCTGGAAGCTACACATGGAGGAAGCTGTCAGAATAGTTGTTTCATTTTCAGAGTGGCCGGGGCCTGTTGGCAAACTCTTAAAAATTGCTTTAGGAATTTGCCAGGGTTGGGGTTGGCAGGGGAACAGCTTCCTGGTTCATGTGTGTGCCATCATGACTGGGCTTCTGAAATACCCTTCTTCACGAAGCAGAGCTGAGACGGGAGGAACATGCCTTAGGGAAGTATAAACCTGTTTGCCTCTGTAGCCTTTTCCTGCCCTTAAGGATACCCTTCTTGTCAGCTGGGGTTTCTCAAGAGGCTCCTGGGTAAGAAACAGACCTCGTTGGAGCTGAGAAGTCGACCTCTGGGCAGGGCTGGGCAGTCCTCTTGTGGGGCTGAGGAGACAGCAGGTGGTTCTAAGTGCTCTCAAGACCAGCCACTTAATTGTTAGAATGATAGCTTTGGTCTCCTGACAGCCGGACCTGCTTTTCTTTGTGCTTGCTCCTCCTTGGACTGTCCTATTGACTGTTTATTTCCAAAGGGCAGCAATTACAATCTACTGCTTTGGAATTGTGCCATGCCCATCCTGCATGGTTGTATCCGGTAGCCTCAACTCCTTTTGCCTCTCATGTCCTGAATGGACTTTGTGCCCCGCTCCCAGCTGCCCTCCCTTCAGAACACGCCATCTTGACTTAGTAGGAAAGCACATCCCAAAGTGTTTAACCTCTGTGGTTGCCTCTTAAGTCATTTATCCTTTACTGACTCTTGTTGACTGAGAGTGATCAAGGAGAATCAATGCACTGTTGGTCATAGTGAAGGCAGTTGGTTATGGAACTGGAGCAAATCAGGGCCATGAAGAGGAGAACACACAGAGTGAGGGTAGAAGAAGGGAGTGGGCTGTGGAAGGGGATGCAGAGGTTCTGAGTGGCCAGCCTGGGCTAGCACAGGGGAGGAAAGGATGCTGAGGAGTATCCTCTTCTATCTGAGTTGGAATTCCTTGCTCCGGAAGGTGGCAGGACTGGTCTTGGTGGTGGCTGCGGCTGTAAGCTATACTGTCTCTGCAATGACAATAACATGGGCAGGTTCTGGGATGGTACTTGCGTTTTTGTGATCTCGTTGGAGAGAATGGGAAATGAGAAATCATCAGGTTAGTGATGTTTGGAAGCAACTTTGGTCCTTTTACATTAGAAAGTAGTTTTTCTATGTGCAAGGCACCTTACATGTGCAGTAATGGAAATCTCTCTTGCCTTAGGGGCTTGTCCGTCTGCCCCATTGGATGCAGTGGCCTTTGGCTGACAGCTCTCAAGACCTCCAGGGTCTGAGGCTTGCTCTGTCGGCATCCAGCTGTGTAAGCTGGGTGACTCATGCCACATCTGGCAACCAGCAGGCACTGGGGACCCACCCATGGGATGTGCGTTTCTAGCTTCTGAAGCAGTAAGATGTTCCTCATGGTCCCAGGCCCACAATGTCAGCTGGAGCCGAGCAGCAGTCCTCGCTGCACACGGGACATACGTGTGACTTGTGACGTCACCAGTACTCTGGGCTTGGAGCTCTAGATGTGACAGCTTGTAAAATTCTTTCCAGCTCTGGGGTGGCCTGATCTAGTGCTGCTACAAAAACATCCTGACCCCTGTGTATGCGCAATGTGCATCTTGGCAGTGAGGGGAGGGTCCATTCAGCCGGGTGGGACCTGCACAGGCCTCCGATACAGTCCTCACTTTCACATTGAAAACAGAACTCAAGTTGACTATCTGATTTTCCTTTGTGGTTCCCAGCAATGGCCATCTCAAACTGTCACTTGAACAAACAGTTCATAACAAAAGGCTCTGCTCCCAGCAGCTTTGGGATTTTCCACTGATGAGCGGTGTAATGAGACCTGCTTGTGAAACTCTTCCTTCGCTCAGGGATCAGGTGATCAGGTGGTCCTGCCCCAGACTGCTGAAGTTAGTCACTTACGATGAACCTGAAATGCTTCAAGAGAGAAAAGCGGTGTGTTGAAGTGGCGTCAGGGAGAGATTCTAAGAGGAGTGAATAGTGGAGGGGAGGGAGCCTGAGGTTAAAGCTGGTATCACCGGACAGGACTTCCTTCCCGAATGATCTACTGACTAGCATCACGTAGGGCCCACAAAGGGCCAGACTCTTCCTGTATGCTCCCTTGGGCAGGGAAGTCTGGCCCGCAGCCCCAGAAGCCAGCAGTGCAGGTATGAGGTGCACAGGCCGTCTTCCCTTGAGGCTGTGCTTGGGGCCACCAGGCTATCCCACTGCCCTAATGGTTGTTCCAGGACTTGTTTCAGCTTCCCAGTGCCTCTGTGTTGATGCTGGTTGGGTGGGTGACAAGAGGGTGGCTGAAATTTACAGAATTATTAGCTACCCCACTAACCTTCCTTCTTGCAGCATATGGTATTTCATTGGTTTGCCTTATAACAAGGTGAAATCTGGTTTTTATCACATGCATGTTTAATACATGTCTATAAATGCCATCTATAAAAAGATTTGCATCATCTGTTTTAGGAACTACTGCTTCTGGTTAAGTTTTCTGAATTGATTTTTAATATTAAATTGAACTTGAAGTAGAGAAAACGTTCTTACTATATAAAACACCCCTTTTCTCCTTCCTGGGGGCTGGCGTTGTGGTGAAGTGGACTAAGCTGTTGCCTGTGACACCAGAATTCTACATGTGGGTTCAAGTCTCAGCTGTGCCACTTATGATTTAGCTCTCTGCTAATGTGCCTGCGAAAGTAGCTGAAGATAGCAGAAGAACTTGGAGGCCTGCCACTCGACTGGGGGACTGGATGGAGTTCCAGGCACCTGGTTTCCATCTGGCCCAGCCCTGGTCCTTGTGGGCCATTAGGGGGTGAAACAGCAGATGGAAGATCTCTCTTTCTCTTTTAGAACAAACCAACAATCTGTTAAGAAAGAATACTGATCACAATGTATTCTAATACGGTGCTTTCAAACATTTTCTAAAGCTTTTTCGCTAACTTATTTTTCCTTGCAAACATAACATGTTGCAGATACTATTTCTCTTTTATAATTATACATATAATTGTATTTGTAACTAATAATGCTTCTGTTTAACAAAGAGTATTTCTTTTTTGGAATTTTTATCTTGTCTGAAAAGCAGGGAATGAAAGACAATCTCCCATCTGCTTGTTTATTTCCCAAATGTCCACAACAGCTGGGGCAGCCTGGAGCCGGGAGGCTGGCGTTCAGTCGGGGCTCCCATACATGTAGCAAGATCCAACTGCTTGAAGCATCACCTGCTACCCCCAGAGTGTTAGGAGGAAGCTGGGACTGGGACAAGCCAGGCCCTCTGACGTGGTACATTGGCATTCCATGTGGCATCTTTTATTTTGTTTTCTGTTTTTAAAAGATTTATTTATTTTTACCAGAAAGTTCGATTTACAGAGGAAATACAGAAAGATCTTTCATTCACTGGTTCACTCCCCAAGTGGCCGCAATGGGCGGAGCTGTGCTGATCTGAAGCCAGTAGCCAGGAGCTTCTTCTGGGTCTCCCAAATGGGTGCAGGATCACAAGGTTTTCGGCCATACTCTCCTGCTTTCCCAGGACACAGTCAGGGAGCAGTTGAGATACAAACCAGTGCCCATACGGGATCCTGGCCATTACGAAGTCAGGATTTAGCTACTAGGCTATTGTGCCAGGCCCCTAGGTGGCATCTTAAATCTCATGTCAAATGTCCTCCCAAAACTTTATTTGTCAAAAAAAGTTTCATTTATTTGGAAAGACATAATTAGAGTTAGAGAGAGAGGTGGGGAGAGACAGAGAAAGCCTTCTATCTGCTTGTTCACCCCTCAGAGTGGGCTGGGCCAAAGCCAGGAACCAGGAACTTCCTCCAGGTCTCTCATGTGGGTACAAGGGCCCAGTGACTTTGGTCATCCTCAGCTGCCTTTCCATGTGCATTGGCGGAGGGTTGGATAGCAGAGCAACCACCACTTGAACTAGTGTCTATATGGTTTGTAGGCATTGCAGGTGGAAGCTTAACATGCTGTGCCACAGTGCTGGATCCCAAAACTGCATTTTGTAAATCATGCTTCACACGATTCCCCATCTACATGATGTCTGATGCAGAGAGGGTGGTTTTTAGTTCTGTGAGTGTGAGATAATCCATTTTCTGCTTTGAGATAACGCAGTTCTAGCCCTGTACATCACAATTTTGCTTTCCTCAATTTCTGTGTTTACTAGGTTGGACAAATGCAGCTCTTTTCAGACTTTTGAAATTAGAGTAATAGTTTGAAATGTTAGTTGTAGTTCGGGAATGTCCTTGTCCATCGACTTAGGAGATTTGAGGTTTGAAGCAGCGTAGGAGCTATTGTTCCAAGATTATCAGCTTAAATTGGTTGGCTCCATAATGTGTGCTTTAGGAACAGGCTAAAATTTGTTCTCTCTTCCTATGGCCATGTAAATATCCACGCCACGTGTTGCTCTAATGTGAGAAAGGCCTCCAGCTTGCTGCATGCTTATTAATTAAAGCTTTAGGCTCTGGGGACTATGAATGGGCAGTGTCTGGCTGTCTGCCCAGTGCGCTTTGCTAAACAGAACGGCCAGGGTAAGTGTTTGGGAGCGAGTCTGAACATCATAGTCCTATCTAATTTTAGCTGGTCTGTTTTGCAACTGCTGATGGAGAGAGTAAGTACAGTATCCTATTAATACGATAGGTTCCCTAGGTGCTTGGTGTTTTGGGGCTGTCAGTTCCAGCCGTGGCTGCAGGTGTCTGAGGGCTGGCCCTAAGGAGAGCGGGTGCTTTCTGAACACAGATTCCAGTTGTGGGTGGTCAATTTGTGGTGCTTTTAGGCCCGCTGGGGACATGCAGGTGATGGCCTTGGTCAAGTAGGAAACATGCTTTCTTTGACTTAAGTTTTTGGTTTTTATTTTAGACGATGATTATTGTTTTTCTATTTATTTTATTGGAAAGCCAGATTTACAGAGTGAAGGAGAAAGAAAAATCTTCCAACCTCTGGTTCACTCTCAAGTGGCCACAACAGCTAGAGCTGAACTCATCCGAAACCAGGAGCCAGGAGCTTCCTCTGGGTCTTGCACCGCGGGTACAGGATCCCAGGGCTTTGGGTCATCCTTGACTGCTTTCCTAGGCCACAAACAGGGAGCTGGATGGGAAGTGGAGCAGCTGAGATATGAACCGTTGGCCATATGGGATCCTGGGCATGCAAGATGAGGATTTAAGCTACTAGGCTACTGTGCTGGGCCCTACTTTTAGGTTGTTTTTTAAAAGAACTATGTTAAGATCCTGACTTTTTTTTTTTTTAAGAAAATAATTTTAGTTGTGTTTATACATTAAGTAGAGAGGAAGGTAGAGGAATCTTCCTGTATCTGTTGGGAAGTTTCCATAATGACCACTGTGCCAGTCTGCTTGCATCGGTCTTCCTAAAGCTAATCCTTCCCCTACTTTTCCATTTTTCCCCTTCCTTCCCACTCCTTTCCTTTCCCTGCAGTATTTTAATACAAAATCCAAACATCTTCCTCTTCAGGTATAAATATTTAATATGCCATTATAATCCCTGTTTTTCATTTAACATAAATATCATGTTAAAAGTTGTTTAAAATGTTCAGAGCACATTGGTAAATTAACAACCATTTCTTGGTATTCTCTAACTTCCTGTCCATATTCAGATTCCCCCCCCCCCCTTGATATCAAAGACATCTTTCTCAAATTCTCCTCATTTTTTTGGTGTGTGTTTTCTGCATGCCATAGTTACACCCGTTGCCGAGGGAGCAGGATCATTTGCTTAAGACTACTACTCTAAGAATTGCCTTCCTGAGATATATAGTTCAACTTGTGTGTGTTGGAGATTAGATCCGGAGTCTTGAGTCCGTTTGTTCCTCTGTTTCAGAACCTGGCTTGCTCTCTCCACATGTTTCGAACACAGCAGTACCTGAGCCCGGGGGTTAGTCACACTGCCCTCTGGAAATCAGAGCCAGAATGGCCAGAGGCAGTCAGCTGGAGAGCTGAGGTGGTGGAGTGGCTGAGACTGAACGAAAATTCAAACCCAGGGGCTTGGCTGCAGCCCGTTGGAGACAGGGGCAATTGGGTAGAGAGGGAGAGGCAACGATTTTTTGGCTTAAGAAGCTTTTTCAGGTGACTTCCAAATGACCAACAGTGCTGAAGAAGTGGCTTGACTGTTGAACAAAAAGTTCCAGAAGGTCAAGTGAGGGAAAACAAAGACGTGGAATAGGTACAGAAGGGAAGAGGCATGGGAAGGGGAATAAATGCGAGTCGGCCAGAGCCCAAGAGGGTGTTGAATTTTTTTGGGGGGTTGGTGTTTATCGTCATGGTCTCTAGTGAACTTGGCTCTCTTAGTTGTTGGGCCACATGGCATGGAGCAGCAGCCGATTCTACAGAGTTTACTGACTGGTGGAACTTTTTAGAGCATCTGCTTTTTCTGGTCTATGTTGGGGACTGGCAGCCATAACATCCTTGGCTGGTAGGAAATAATACATCAGTGGCCAATAGTGGATGCCTGAACAGAGCATGCACAGATGTGGGTTTATTCCATGTGATGGCTCCCTCCTTAAGGTTGAGACTGTCCTGAACTAACAGTCTCTGAGAACAAGAAGGCTTACCCAGAGACTTTGCCTTTTCTGCAAGCAGTAGGATGCGCTCAGGGTCATCCTAGCTGAAACCCAGGAGCATGTGAGCCAGAAGCTGCATGGGGACATTAAGGGATGGCTACAGTGACTTTTCTAGCTGCGTAACAGTGGATTGGTTACTTAACACTCCATACCTCAGGTTTCCCATCTGCCAAGTTGAGAGGATTGCAATCACTTTATGTTATTTGGTGAATTCAGAAAAAATAACACATATCAAAAATGACACATATTAAAAAACTGTGCTTGGAAACCAGAAAGTATTCATTCAAGCACCTGGGATAGTGTCTTACATTTTGTCATGATAAATACGCTGTAAGAATGCAAACAGCCATTAGGCAAAGATAAAGCATTGTTACTGCATGCTTATGTCAGTGGATGTCGTGTAGATATATATTAGCACTGTGAATGAGGAGAACAACTTTTTAAAATTTCCTTATCTTTCTTTTTTTGACTTACTATTATTGTTTTAAATTTTGAATTTTATGGTACAATTCCATAGGCTCTGGGACTTCCCCTCACCAAATTCCTCCCCACCGACTGATTTTCCTCATATTATTACAATAGTATAGTCCTTCATAAGCAGTCATAAGTCCATCATCATTCTGTTATTTAAGTGTGTCCTGACATTGTTGGGATAGACATGTCAGACAGTCCAGCATCCTATTGCCAGGGTATGTCCAACAGATATGTCATTGGGAGTCCATCAATGATTTGGAAGTAGAGATGCATACAGCATTGTATCTTCACATCTGGATATGACAGTCTCCATTACACTGTCACTACACATTCCCTCAAATGAGATGCTACGAAGCAAAGTCAACAACAGGAATGAAGTTAAAAGAAAAAATGTATAGCATCATGGAGTCAAACAACACACCACTGAATAACCACTGCATCGATGAAGAAATGAAAAACACCAATGCTTCTTGGGTAAAATGATGCCACTGTGTGATGTATGAGTCAGTGAAGAACTTGGTAAGAGAAAAGAAAGTATTTGGAAGAAATGAAAATAAACACAAAAACATCTGAACCCAGGGGTTGCAGCAAAGAGATGGAAAGGGTGATTGATTTTACAATCTGCATGAAGGCTGCCCTATATCAGAGAGAACAGATGATACTGTCCCTTTGGGATTCACTTATTTCACTGGGCATAAAGGTCTCTAGTCTCATTCTTTTTAATGGCTGAGTAGTATTCCATGGAGTAGATGGTCCCACAATTTTTTAAACCACTCTTCTTTGGCTGGGCATTTGGTGTGTTTCTACATTTTTGCGCTTGTAGATTGTACTGCTGTAAATATAGGATTACAGAGCCCTTTCTCATATGCAAATTTCATTTCCATTGGGTATATTCCTAGGAGTGGGATAGTTGGGTCATATGGCAGGTTTATTTGCAGTTCTCTAAGCACTCTCCATACTGATTTCCTTAGTGGTTGTACTAGCCTACACTCCCACCAGCAGTGAAGGAGGGAGCCTTTCTCCACACATCCATGCCAACAGGTGTTGTTAGTAGAGTTCTGAATGTAGGCCAGCCGCCCTGGAGTTCGGTGGAACCTCAATATGGTTGATATTGTGTTTATTTTAATTTCTTCCAAATAGTTTCTTTTCTCTTACTAAGTTCTTCACTAAGTTTTAGATCACACAGTGGCATCATTTTTTCCAAGAAGCTTTTGTGTTTTCTTTTTCATTTCTTCATTGACACATGGCTTATTCAGTAGCATGCTACTTAACTCCATGGTGCTGTAAACACAGAATGATGGACTTATGACTGCTTATGAAGGACTATACTATTGTAATAATATGGGGAAAATCAGTTGGTGGGGAGGAATTTGGTGAAGGACTAGGGGAAATCCCCGGGCCTATGGAATTGTACCATAAAATAAAATATAATGGAAAAAAAGAAGAGAGCTGGATTGGAAGTGGAGCTAGTAGGGCTTGAACCGGCACCTATATGGAATGCTGGTGTTACAGGTAGAGGCTTAGGCTACTATGCCACAGTGCCTGTCCATATGCTAGCCATTCTAGGGGTAAGGTGAAGCTTCATTGTGCCTTTTATTTGCCTTTCTCTGATGGCTAGTGACCCTGAGCTTTTTTTTTTTCATATGTCTGTTGGCCATTTGAATTTCATCCTTTGAAAAATGTCTGTTCATGTTCATTGTCCATTTCTTAGTCATATTGTTTGTTTTAATATTGTTGAGTTTCTTGAGCTCTGTTAATTCTTTAATAGTGGTGTTATTATTCTTATAGAAGGGGGATAGAGCAGGTCTGGCCTCACTAATCATTGGCTGTGAGGGTCTAATCTCTATGGGCTTTAGGTTTCTCATCTGAAGCCTAGCGTGTATGCCAAGCCCTAAGCCACTTAAGGCTGTTATTGTAGACGGAAGTGTTGTAAGTCCGTTTGATTATTCCCCTCTAGCCTCATCAGAATGGGATCTCTCCACGCATGTTTAAGGCCTTTGTAAGCAAGAGCCACCCAGAATTCTCCTCCAACAGACAGCAAGATGCCCAGGAGTTTTTCTTGCACCTGGTGAATCTCGTGGAGGTGAGTCACTCTGCAAAAGTTTGCATAGGTGTTTTAGCAGTGTGCCACCCGCTCTCCAGCATTGTGCACTGTGACTGGGTTATTATGCCTCTGCTGTTCGACCTGAACACCCCAGTCTCTCCCTGTCCAGGCTGCTTCTGAGTCGGTCCCTTTCTTAGCCCGTTCAATGTGCCTCGGGCCCTGGTTTCTGGACACGGGGGTCTGTGTTGCGCCTTTTGGTCTCTGTGTGTGTCATAGGAACATTTGTCATTTACTACGTATACACGTAGTCTCCAGCTCCTTGAGGCTTTGTGATACTTGGTGTTTCCCTGCCACCAGTGATGCTCACGCTTCGCTCACAGCAGGGCTGAGTCACATTAGACAGTTTTTAAAAGACACTGAACATTTCTTTCTCCCTTAACGAAATTTATTTTTCCTGATGATAAAACTTTTTGTGTGCCTGAAATGTATAAAACAGCAAGAAGAAATAAAAATCTCCCAAAATAGCAAACCCTGCCAAAAACCTGTATTACCGTTTTGTCTTCAGACCCCACCGGTCACTTCCCATTTCACAGGCTTGTAGATCCCCTTTTTCATAAGGCTTCACACTAGAAGTGTTTTAGAGTTGGGATATTTTAGAATATTCACAATAGTTTTATCTTTTGAGTGCCCCTAATCCAAAAATTCTACATCAGAAACTTAAAAGAAAAAATTTTTTATTCGTTCAGTTTATTTGAGCGGCGGTGAGAGAAAAACAGAGAGTTCCCAACCACTGGTCCATCCCCAATGTCTAAAATAGGTGACACTTGAGCACTGTGAAGCTGGGAGCTGGGAGAGTCAGGTTTTCCACGTGGGTGACAGGGTCCTAGATCCTGGCACTGTCACGATTGTTTTCCAGGGTGTTTATGAGAAGGAAGTTAGAATCCGGAGAAGAGCAGGGACTCGGGACCCAGGCACTTTAACGTAGCATCCTAACCAGCACCCGAAGGACTGCACGGAATGCCTGCTTCCTCCCCCCACCAAAAGTATTTTGCCCATCACAGAGCTAGTAAAGTTTCTGATTTTGGAATATTTTGCTGTTTTTGATTAGAGCTACCTGTCAGTCTTTAGTTTTCAGTACGTTGTTTTGCAAGCAGTGTTTTTGTTTGATTTCTTGTGAATGTCTTGCCACATCATTATATACTCTAGAACAGTACGACTTCTTTTTTGTAAAGAATTTTCCTCCATGTGATTATGTAGCATGCAAGCCTTCATTTCCCCAGGGCAGCCCTTTATTTTTTTCCTCTTTCTGATCTATTTGGCTCTTTATCTCTGTCTTTTTTTCTAATTCTATCTGCTAGTTTTTCTCATGTGATTTTTTTTTAAAGATTTATTTATTTTTATTGGAAAGTCAGATTCTCAAAGAGAAGGAAAGACTAAGAGAAAGATTTTCCATCTTTTGGTTCTCTCCCTAAATGGCCGCAATGGCTGGAGCGAGGAGCTTCTTCCAATCTGAAGCGAGGAGCTTCTTCTGGGTCTCCCACATGGGTGCAGGGTCCCAAAGCTTTGGGTCATCCTCTATTGCTTTCCCAGGCCACAAGCAGGGAGCTGGGTGGGAAATGGAGCAGCTGAGATATGAACTGGCACTAATATGGGATCCTAGTGCATGCAAGGTGAGGATTTAGCCACTAGGCTACTGTGCCAGGCCCTATGATTTATTTATTTATTTTTAGAAGATGTATTTATTTATTTGGAAATCAGAGAGAGAGAGAGAGAGAGAGAAAGCTAGAAAGATCTTCCATCTGTTGGTTCAGTCCCTAGATAGTCGCAACAGGCAGGGCTGGGCTGAAGTCAGGAACTAGGAGTCAGGAGCTTCATCTTCATCTGGGTCTCCCTGTGGATGAAAGAGGACTAAGGACTCAGGATATTTTCTGTTGGACTTTCGATAGATTGCAGGTTTTATGATTAGATCACTATGGTGGACCGACACGGCCAGAAAAAATGTTTAGTAAACCCAATTCTTTGTAGTAGATTTATAGTTGATTTTCTGCTGATGTTTGTGATGTAATATTTCTAAATTTACTAATCTGAGGAAAATCCAACCTACAGAGGAACCGCATCGGCTCAGAAAACCCAAGTGATGTTTTTCGGTTTCTGGTGGAAGAACGTATCCAGTGCTGTCAGACCCGAAAAGTCCGCTACACAGAGAGGGTGGACTACCTGATGCAGCTCCCTGTGGCCATGGAAGCAGCGACCAACAAGGGTAAAGGGAATGGATGTGTGTGTCTTCTTGGGGGAGACCTACGTCTCAGTGTGGCATAGGCATGAAGCGCTGCATCAGGAGTAGAATGAGTTAATGTGAGTGGTCTGAAGGCTTAGCTTTAGTTTTCTTTAGTCCTCGCGTGACTTTGTTTTGCAAAGACGCAGTTGTTTATCACTGGTTCTATAGAGGAAGGGAGGTGTGACGATGGAAATGTAAATTTGACCAACTAGTTGATCTGAAGTTAATATAATTTTAGAGAAATTGATTGACATTATACATATATGTATATATCTCAGTTTCTTTACATCATCCTTTACAAATCATCCTTCAGTGTAAAGTCTGAGGGATATGATTAGTAGTGCTTTTTTTTTTTCATTTTAAAGATTTATTTATTTATTTAAATGGTGGAGTTAGAGACAGAGAGAGACAAAAGATGTTCCATGTGCTGGTTCACTCCCCAAATAGCTGCAATGGCTGGGGCTGGACCAGGCAACTTCCAGGAGCCAGGAGCTTCATCCAAGTATCCCACATGGGCACAGGGGCCCAAGAATTTGAGCCATTTTCCACTGCTTCCCCAGGTGCATTAGCAGGCAGCCAGAACTCAAAACTGGCACTTGTATGGGAAGCTAGAGTCTTGGGCAGCAGCTTAACGAGCTGTGCCACAATGCTGGTTTCAGAAGTCATTTCTGAAGTCAAACATTCAGGCAAAGATCGCTTAAGGTAATGTGGTGTGAGCATCTTTCAGATGCCTATCACAGGAGATAAGTTGATAAGAGGGAGACCCGCGAGAAGGGAGACCCAAGAGAAGGCTCTTTGGAGTTTGGATGGAGAAGTCAGCAGAGACACAACAGTGTGCTGGGCTGTCCTAGGGATGTTCTTTTTCTTTCTGTCAGTCTAATCTGGTCCTTTCCAGGCAGAATAGGTGAAAGGTAGTTTTTGGAATTAGCTCCTTAGATGAGGTAAGAACAGAACAGCTGCTGGATTGCTTATCTCTGCTGTTTTTGTAAACTCAGCAGCTCCCTAAAGGCCTTTTCCTTTTTTGGAGGGGAAGGGGGACAGTGTGAAATGCCCATATGAAAATGGTTTTAACATGAAAGGATATCCATTTTCTAGGAGCTCATGTGATTTTTGATACATTCTAAAAATCCTCATGCATGATACAAGGTAGAAATAAGGAGGTGGCCTGGTGGCTGGTTTTTGTTTTGTTTTTTGTTTGTTTGTTTTACAGGAAAGTGGCTAAGATTATTATTGCCATATTGTTTCCTTCATGTATCTGAAGTAAATGGGGATATCAAGGGAGAAGCCCCACCCAGTTTCCCACCCAACCCAAGTCCCGTATGTAGGGCATGCTCTGAGATACTCGCTCAAGTGGTTTCGATAGTTCACCAGTTATGAATTGCTGCCAATCTCGCCTCTCCAAACATGATGAGGTCGTTGAAGAATCCACTTCTGTCCTTTCATGGTTAAGGTTCTGAGTCTGGCAGTTCGTTTGGGGAGATCCCCAAAGAAACTTTGTCTGAGGTGTTCCCAGACCAGATTCTTGTATGTACTAGCAAGTACAGGGCCAGGCACAGTCCATCGCCCCGATCAGCTGGTGGTTGCAATTGCTGGGGTGGTTCTGTTTTCAGCCCCGATTTCCACCAGAACCAATGGGTGTTGCAGTCCAGGCTGGTTCTGCCAAGCACACACTCGGCCTTCGCATAAACCAGTGGGAGCTGCAGCCTAGTGAGAGCAACCCACAATAACCCCCACCAGGCCTACCCCTACCCTGGTATGCCAGAATGTGTAGCAGTAGTCCAGTCTGTCCCACATTCCCTTTGGCTCTCGTACATGTCAATGGGTATTGAAGCTTAGATCCATCTAACCAGCTCAACAATCAAGCCCTCATGGGTGTTGTTGAGTGCCTCTCTGTCTAGCCACCCCAGCCCCGTCCTAGTTTTCGTACCCTCCCATGGGAGTGGTAACCCAAGAGGGAAGAGCCCACTATTTCCCTCCCAGGCCTCTTGCATTTCCGGATTATGCACTGTCCAGGTAGTTCTGTGGTTTGACTTGACAGAATTAGCCCCCAGTGCCAGCTTCTGTCAGCTGATGCTGCGGCTAAGCCCCAACACCCCTCACCCACTCTAATTTTGTTTGCACCAGTAGAAATAATCAGCCCAGCCTGGCTTTTCCCTGATTTTGTCCACATGAGGTGCACATGTGTTGTAGCCCTGCTTAGTCTGGTCTGCCCCCACCCTGGCTCATGCTCTCTAGTGGGAGTAGCTGTGCAGCAGGGGAACCACCCCTTATTACCCTGCTGGGTCTGCCCCCTCCCTTCCTGGTTCTCATGTGTGCTGGATGGGCACTGCAGTCATATCCAGTACAGACAACCTCACCCTGGCATTCTGTATTGTGCAGTGGTTTTTATCGCGACCAAACCTCGCTCGACCCTCTCTGTTCTGGTGCTCTGATCTGCCAGTGGATGACGTGAACAAATTCAGCTGGTCTGCTCCCCACCCATGCCAAATGTATGCCAGTGGGAAACTTCTTATGGCCTACTCTGGGCTGTTTCCATTCATGCTTCTTACACTTACCCGCAGGGTCTGTGTCCTGCCAGAGGAGTTGCCCAGGTTCCTCCATCAGAACCTCTCCCAATGCCAGATTACGCGCATACTAGGGCATCCATGAACTAGCCTTACTCAGTTTACCTCCTGTCTTAGCAAGAACAGTGGCTTTTCCTGACAGGCCTTCGACCCAAGCTGGTTCTTGTTGGATGTTTCAGCCCAGCCATGGGTCATCCATACCCACATACTGCTCACACATGGCTCAGTAGGGGTTGAGACCTTGCCTAGTCCATCCCACATCTACCCTGGTCCTCCAGACAGTGTTGGGGTGCGCCCAGTCCCAATCCACACTTGTGCCAAGGAAGATTTCAACTGTTTCCTGATCAGAACTCAGCCCCCATTTCAGCCCACACTCTCCTTGGTGGTAGCCTTAATCCAGTTAGTGTGTCCCCTTGCTCCCCATCTGGGCCTGTTCCCAGCCATGGATCTCGCACATGCCAGTGGATGCTCTGACTCAGCCCCTTACTTGTACCGGCCTCTGCCTTAGACACTGTGGCTTAGCGTCCCTGACTTATGCAGACCAGTAAGTATAAGAGCCTAGCTTGGCATGACCTGTGCTCTGTCTTGGTTTCCGGTTTCGCTAGTGGGCTAAGGCTTGCTCAGGCCTGCCTGGTCCACCCTGTTCCATTACAAACCCATACATTAGCCAGCCATTGGAGTTCCCTTGCCCAGCTTGTCCGACCCTCAGGTCTGGACCACATGTTCACCAGCAGGAGTTATGACCCGCCAGGGTAGTTTCCCAAGTTCCTCCTCTTAATCCACTCCTGGACCCAGTTCTCATACATGCCATTGGGTTTTAGGCCAGGTTCCAGTGAGGTCTGGCCTTCCATTTAGCCTTGTTTGAGCTGGTGAACATTGTAGCCCAGCCCACCCCATACCCTATTCAGGATGCACATTTGGGTGCTGCTGCCTTGACCAGTCCAGACTGCTGTGGGTTCCTTTACCTGTGATTGATGGCAGGCTCCTTGTTCACCCCGAGCTTATTCTATCACTTCCGCAACTCTTGAGCTAACCAGTGGGGCTAGGATTTCCACAAGGCTTGACCCACACAGCTCCCAAAGAATCTACCCCTGGATATGGCTCTCAAGTGCTAGTTAATGTAATGGCCCTGACCAAAGTGACCCTTCTCCTGATCCATCATCATGTCAGGTAACAGAATATGATTCTGCTGGACATGCCCCGAGCCATAGCTTTTGCATGGACTGGTATTTGGTGATCAGCATTGCTACGTGATAATACGTTCTTCAAAGGAAGAGTAACTGTCATTGGGAATCTTTAGGATATATTGACCTCACAGAAATACATTGGGTTCAACGTGAAACTACATAAGCAGCAATTCAAACCACCAGAATCCCAGAGCTCTCCTGCCGGGCGGCCAGCAAACAAAACCTGGTGCCAAATGGCGCACTGGGCTCCTGTGCCCAGCACACCACGTGCACGTGGTGGCTGGCTTGTGGGATCCAGGCATGAGACGCCCTGTCCCAGGACCCACCCGCAGCCGAGAGGCTGCAGGAAGTTTAAACTCCCAGGCCCAAAGTCCTGGTTTCTGTTTTTTTTTTTTTTAACTTGCTTTTTCTTGCCTACCTGAAGGATACCTGCTCAGTGATGTCAAAAATTACTCAACAATGATACTTTGTTGAGATATACTCAAAGGGTTTAAGTGCAGCCTTGTCGGTTTTCACTTTAGGCCTCAGTTTGTTCAGTAAGGCAGTGAAGAGCTGGGGAGAAGGCGAGCTGAATTTCTCTTGGTTGGAGGGTTTGTTGTTTGGAGTATGGCATTTGGGTAATCCCAGACTTGACCTCTAGACTAAGGGAATACTAATTTCATGTGCCATTTACATTCCAGTCTCACTGTTCTCTCTTATCAGACTCAGGATGAACAGCATAAAGAAAGGCAAATGGCTCAATGCAGCCTGATGGGGCTACTGCGGAGACAGCCCTTCAGTAGACTCCTCCAGAGCTGTGATGAGCAGGGCATCAAGTGCAACACCTCCCGGCACAGAAGCCTTCAGGGAAGGTTGTCCACAGAGGGTGTTTTCATGTCGAGGGGTCAGAGTGATGGCAAGGCTGGTTTTGTGCTCTTTTCTCCTAGATGAACTGATTGCCTATGAATTAACAAGAAGGGAAGCAGAAGCGAACAGAAGGCCCCTTCCGGAGCTGGTGCGAGCCAAGATACCATTTAGTGCCTGCCTTCAGGCCTTTTCTGAACCCGACAATGTTGATGATTTCTGGAGCAGCGCCCTGCAAGCCAAGTCTGCGGGTGTAAAGTAAGTGTGTGTGTGTGTGTGTGTAAGAGTGAGAGAGAGGGAAAGAGAGAGGAAGAAGGTAATGAGTGATACAGAGCTTTGAGAAGGGGCTGGGAGCCAGGGAGAGGGGCTGACTGTTCTGTGAAGGCTTGTTCTTTGTTCTGGGATGGGATTGTGATTCCCAAACCCTTGTTGCCATAGATTTCTCTCCGCAGGACCTGTTGAGTAAGACAGCCTTATGCTTTATGTAACATACTAGGTACTCCTCCTTTTTCAAAGACAATGTTGTTATTTATTCATGAGGAAGTATTTGTCTTTCTTTACCACGGAGATATACTATGATCACAAACTGGCAAGAATGTAATTATTAATAAAGCAGTTATAAAACTATTCATGATGAGCTTCCATTGTGACATATATTGAATCATTAAAGATCACTGTAGAACTTGGCTGACTCTGCTCCTGTTGGAGACCAGGAGTCTCAGGGCATTTTGAAGTGCACGTAAGGGTTCTTAGGCATTGTCAGATGTCCTACATGGGGACATCAATAAGTTCATGGAAAATGGAATTAAAAGGTGAGTTTATTTTGGTGCAAAATGTTCTGGAAATGTATGTTTTCTTTTTTTGTTTGTTTCATTTTATACCTTTTCCATGAACTTTTTGAAGATCCTTTTTACGCTTTACTTTGTGAATCTGGTTGTTAGATACGTATTTTTTTTCCACTTGACTCTGTGATTTGATACAGTTGAGTCCTTGAGAGCATCCTTCCTAGCTGCTAGTAATCGGAGAAAGAGTGCTGATAGTGTCGCAAAAGAAAGGGCCGTCTAGAAGTCTGGCTTAACAAATTTCACTACCTTTGCATATTCTTGGGCCATTTTTCTCAAAGATTAAGCCTGAGTGCTCAGTAAAAGGAGTGAATGATGAAGAGAGATGGCTGGGCACTTTTTATCATGACCTTGATAAAAGCTTTGACCTAAGTTATTTTCCATGAAACCAATCCTGCAAGAGTCTGCCTGGTTTGAAATGATAGCCTCCATATATTCAAAAAGGGAAAGCAAATCAATTTATTTCAATCAGTAAAGAAGAGCTACAGGTTCTAAAAATAAGTTTTGGAAAACTCTGTATTCCAGTGAGGATAGATAGCAGTTCATTTGGTTGTTGGCTGTTCCTCATGGAGGTTTGCATCCCAGGGCTGATCAGTGTGTGGCCTTTCAGGGAACAGTAGGTGAGTTAGCATGTTACACGTGAGAGATGTACTTCATTGCCATGTAGAGACATCTTTTGTCAGTTAGGAATCAACATATAGTAGAAATGGTGGGCACGGTTTCTGTGATCACGGGCTGAGGGTAGAAGAACCCTTGGCTGTTGGCATTGATTCTGATGGTCTGTGGGAGGCAGAAAGTGATCCCAGGGTCTGGCAGCCCCGAGGACGCTCCATCAAATGTCAGCGGCAAAGTAGATGCGTTCTTCATTTGCTCATCCCTGGGCTCCTCCCATTTTGCTCTTTAGAAAAGTAGAATGGTGTTGGAAGTGCAAGGCATGGTGTGCTGTCTGAGTCTGCCTGTCCCCAGGTGTACCTTGCCAGGAAGCTGCCTTCTCAACATTTGGTGAAGTTCCATCTTCAAAATGGACTTAAAGGCGTTCACTTTCCACAGATAGATGTCTCTGCACCCTGGGGGACTGGTTAGCAGATCTGGATTCTTCCTAAGTGTCCACTTCTAAGCTTACCTTCTGTCCTGGGCCAATGTCACTGCCCAGGGTCCTTCTTCCATCAGTAATGCAGGAGTGATGCTTGCTGACCTGCATTTTCACTCAAATGTTAGCAAGTCTATAGCTGGGGGCAGTGTTGACAGTTTTTCTGGAATCCTGAAGGCCGGTTTGGCTTTCTCTGGCCTTTAAGGGTAGAAGCAAAGGGCGTTTTCCCTCTTTTTCTCTGCATACACATATGCCCTTGTATATGGTTGTAATACACATGAATATAATTCATATACAATTATTAATGAAAACCTGGGAAGGGAAGCAAATATCAGAGATAACAAACCAGTTGTCAATTATTGCACATTTGTGATTGCCTGGCAATGTGCTAAGCACTTCCTAATCAGTTATCACTTTTAATTTTCTTAGTAATATCAAGTAGATAAAATTATTTCCCATTTCGCAGATAAATAAAATAACGAAAAACTGCAAGAGTCTCCAGTCCCCTGGCTCGCATAGGGAAAGCATTCATTTACCTGTGACTTTTGGTTGATTTTATTGTTAGTATATTTTCCAGGTTTTAAGTTAATATAAGAATAGAAGGTCAGAAAGGTAACATTTTTAAAATATTATTGCTTGAGATATCATTTGTTGGGTTTTGGTTAAATTGAGGACTTGGCCATACTTAAATAAAGAAGATGTTAATTATTGCTTCTCAGAAGATGGGTGAGAATCTCATTAGAGGCCAAGTTCAATTTCAGGCGAGCCAAGGTGATCCTGGAGCAGTTGCTAGGAGGATGAGGCAGCTGCTTTCCAAGCTGCTCCTGTGTATTTCTTCCTATACCCTTCTGCCATCTTTGTGTTGGTAGATTTGAAGTACAGAAAGGCTAGGTAGCTGGCATGGGGTAAAATACGTGTCAGCAATGACAAGGTCAGTGTGTAAGGTGTCACAGATGTTAGCTTTTTCATGATAAAGTTGTCAGTTTTTTAGATAGATACTTTCTAGTGTGCCAAGTGGGTTCACATTATTTCATGACTGTTTCATGGCTCTGGTGGGTGCATATCATTAGGAAATACATTTTGTAGATGTAAAAAAGCAGCCCAGGAAGGTCACTGATATTCCCAGATTTCGAGTGAATTAAGTTGCATATTCAACACTCCGTCCACACCTTCCCACTTTGGGTATTCAAGATCTGTCCCTGTACTGTGTGTCTTTTATTCTACACTAGGGGGCAGCAATGCATTTGCGTTTGTTTCCAGAATTCAGGCAGATGAGTTCCAAGTAAAAGACAATCATTTATTTAGATTCGGAAAATGGGGACTGGGGAAGGGCGTTTCAGAATAGTTTAGTTTAAAAGACACCTGTAATATCTGTGTGCAACTCACTTCAAAACTTATGTTTACCTATCACACCTGACTGGCAATCAAACCGAAATGGTCGTTAAAAGCAACACAATAAATGTGGACCCAGTGAGCCGGAACTGGATCAGGAATTTGACATACAAATGAGTAGTCTCTGTATCTGACTATGAACTTGGCCTTTGCAGGAATTTGAAGGAAGCTCAAGATATTGCCCATAAGCATCAATTTTAACATGTAAGGCTAGAACGTTTTAGACACCACATCATCTTTCTACCACTAGGATCAACCCATGTGACTGTGGATTTGCTCACAGCAGTATCTTAATGAGGCTGAGAAATTTCAGTTAGCCAACCTCTCAGTTCCCACAAACCCCCTTTATGCCAGCTCTGTGCTGCGATGTTTTGGTGGCAGTGTTTCAGGACTTAGGGAGCTTTTTCAAACACACCGACGCTTGCCATATATGTAGTAAATTTTAAAAAATGAAAAGTACTTTCAGAAATACAGAATGTTGCAGCAATGGAAACCTAGTCATTTGGAACTGGACCCTGAATTATCCTCAGGGGATTGCCCTCCGCCAGGTCTCTCTTCCTGTCTTGGGGAGGGGCCAGGCTACGCATGCAGGAGCGAGTGAGTGTGTACGTGGTGTATCTGTGTTTGCGGGCTCCTCCCCTTCCTTCCATCAAGTAGGGCTGTCAGCTGGGCCTCAGACAAGCTTGTGGTGCTTCATGAACTGTGTTCACAATTCTTTTACTTTGTTTCATTGATATTACCCCCTTGTGTTTCCCAGAACATCTCGCTTTGCCTCATTCCCTGAATACTTGGTAGTGCAGATAAAGAAGTTCACTTTTGGTCTTGACTGGGTTCCCAAAAAATTTGGTAGGTATCTTTTGCATGCTTTTATTTAAACATCAAATTTGTCTTTTAAAACATATGGCATGTGAAAGAGTCCGTGTAGTTTGGCTGCAATGGAGAGTTCCATTTCATTTTCCTTTCGCTTTTCTCCATAAATCAGAATATAGGATAAGCACAGACGGTAAAACGTACCACGTACTAACCTCCTGCTGCAGTAATGGGCCCGGAAACGGGCAGGTTCTAGGAGTGAAAGCACGATCCTCACATTCGCCAACGAACAGTGATTCCTAAACTTGACCGTGCATGTGCCTTACCTGGGGTCTCCACAGAAGCAGGTGCTGATGCTACTGGGGTGGGGTGGGCCTACGATTCTGCATTTTTAACAAACCCCTGGAGGATGCCGGTGCCCATAGCTGACCAAGTCCCCTGGCAGATCATTGAAGAAAGCATACTTTCACTTCTCCTCTGTCATGGAGATAGGCAGATATAACTGATGACCTTCACTTCAATCATTCAAGCTTTAGAAATAATAAATCAAGTAGTGAGGTGCATTGAACGATCAGATAAGGGATGTGAGTCTGGTTTATTTGGGCTTTCTTTTTGCTAATTTTAAAGGTCTTTGAGCATCGTGAAAGGCCACTTTCCCAGACATGCATAGCAACATTTTCTCTGGCATTGACAATCAAAAGAAGGGCTTTTTTTTTTTTTTATTAGTGGAAGGAAGTACAGTTCTGGGGGCACAGCTGAGGGCAGGGTGCTCATCTCTTGATGTGTCTGCCACAGAGCCCGGGAAGCACCTCAGAGGAAAGCCAGCTTATTCCGAAGGCTTCAACTAGCTTCTGGACTGAGTTTCTTAGTCCTTGAAATTGCTGCAGAGGAACGAAAATTTGAACTGGATTTCATTGGCTTGCCGAATTTAAAGGAACCCCATAGCTCTCTTTAATGAACCTGTAATTTTTCCATTGAGGAACAATTGTTCTGATTTTGTTGGTCAGATTTTCTGTTTGGTTTTGCTGCCCCCTGGGATACCAAGAAAAAAAAAATCAATCAAGCTTTGCTTTTTGGGTTGTTTTAAGATAGAATTTATATACCTGGCATCACAACTGGACCATATTTTACAGGTTCTATTTGCCAACATATATCCTACCCCAGTGTTTGAACCTCTTTTTTGTTATTATAGTATCTGAGTAAATGCAATACCACATCCTGACAGGCTATCAGATTGATACATTTTGTAACTGAATAAGTTGACACAATGTCAGTTGAATGAAAAGAAATTAATAGGCACATACCCACAAATGAATACATTGGAGAAGCAGCTTGCTCTTTAAAAAATTTGGCTATTCCTTTATAAGTCAGTATCATTTCAGGTAAACCTGTCATGATCAGGGATGACACATAAGCTAAAGGTTGCAAACCCAGTTGTCTAACTCATCCAACCTAATGAAGAAGTGGGCTGAGTATAAGAACATGTGGCTTGCTGTCTGGGTCTTGGTGTATTCTCAGTGTAGCTAAAGAAGTGGGTTGGAAAGTAGTTCTACACAGTATGAAAATTACATACTGTGATGCTTAGGGCCATTGGACGCTAGGGAACTGCGGGGTCTGTGGCAAACTCTTAACAGGTATTATTGTTGTTTGGAGTAAAAGCTAAAGGTTAGCTCCTGACCGTGGTTCCATAAATGAACACACCACAAATTTTTGTTCGTCAAAAAATAAACTGGGAGATTTCATTTCAAAACAAATTTTTTTCAATTTAAAAATTAAAGTTTGTGACTTGCATTTTAAAAAAAAATTATCAGAAAATGTCTGGACCACAAATGGTCTGTGGGCTGCTGATTTGTGACCTTGTCTGGTGTGAGATCTACAGCAGTTTCCCCAGGTTCTTTATTAACATCTGGTTAGTTTCTATGAAGCTGCCTGTCCACTGGGCTACTGCAGGGAACTGCAGAGCATCTGCCGGCTCTGCCTAGATGCATGTGTGTAGACCTAGTAGTACCATTTCTCTGACATGTTATGGCAAGTTTTGGAGGGTCTAGTGAATGTATTCTCTCTTATTTTGCAGATGTTTCCATTGACATGCCGGACCTGCTTGATATCAACCATCTCCGAGCAAGGGGGCTCCAGCCAGGAGAGGAAGAACTTCCAGACATCAGCCCTCCAATAGTCATCCCTGATGACTCAAAAGGTACCACCTCTGCCAGGGGAAGGCTCTTGGTCCGCCTACCTCTGTTGGAGATAGAGCGACCCGTACCACTCTGTTGCTGCCAGTCCCACCCATTAGGGGCCTCCTCGGCTGCCTTCCTGCCATGCTAACCCATCAGAGAGACACACAAGTGAGGCAGGCTGTGATGGAGGACTTTAAGTGGACCTTGTAAGAGGTACAGACCCATCATGAGTGATTACAGTGGACAATTTTTAGGTTATATTGGTTGAACTTCAACTCCTCTCTCCCTCCATTTCTCCTAGAAGGGAGGAGACAGATTGTGTAAGTTGGAAAGAGGCTGTGTGTCAATAGATTATCACTTAAGATGAGATGTGTGTGTTTCAGTAGATTATCCGTTAAGGGGAGATGTGTCCTTTCTGGATGCATGTTTGGACAGCCAGAAAGGAAACTTGAGCAGTGATATTGGTTAGAAAAATCTTAACCACAACTCACCTGCCTAATTTTGTCACTGCTGCATAGTAAGGGAGTGTTCTGAGTTTCTCTTTCAAAATTCTTAAAGGAAAAGTGCATTCCAAAATGATAAGCAATGCCTTATCATGATGGGTTTAGAAACAGTGTCAGAGAATAGTGTATAATGATTGGCCCAGTTATTCTGATATAGGAGGTTTCATTCTGGCTCCATTAGCTCAGCTATCTAATTTTCATCTCCTAAGAAGTTAATTAGACGGAATGATGGCGATGGAGCACTTTGGGCCCATCTACCAAATAGGACTGTCAGTTAAGCAGTGAATATGGGTTACCATATTCAGATACAAGAGAAGGATTAGGTGAGTCTATGAGGTGCAAAGAAGATTTCAAGAAGGTGTCGGTGTTATGTTGTTGTCTAATACTAGGTCAAATACTAAGTTAACAGAGTGAGCAGAGAAGGGAGCTATCCGTGAGGCATTCTGGGTGATAGTAAAGAAGTTAAAGAAGGAAGAGAGACAAATCAGCATCTGGGAAACCCACACTGCTTTGAGTGCTGCCTCCGCTCTCTCTGATAGGCCCCGTGGGACCCTGCGTTTGTAATTATGCAGAATTCTTAGACATACAAAGAGACAAAGTCATTTAGTTCATGAAGATGGTAAGCAGCACATCACACTTTGGCAGTTCTAAATGCCCAACATCTTGTTTTCTCTCATTACTGTAATGAATTCATGTTATGTGGGCTTCCATGATCTCTGTGTGGGTTAAATGATTGGTGCCAGTGTGGTGTCAGAGTGTTTGGGGACACTCCAAATTGGGAGTTTTTCTTTTTCTAAAACTTGATGGTATACGTTGGTCTCATTTTCTCTTCTTTGAATTTTCAGATCGCCTGATGAACCAGTTGATAGATCGTATGTATCTTTTAAAATGTTTCTCGGTGTGCTAGACTTGTAGTCAGTGTGACACAATTAGTGTGGGCTTCAGTGAAGAGGCCTTGTTCTGTTCTTGTGTGTGCAGCTTTCCTGGGAGGGAGTGGCGGGGATGATGTTTTGTCCATAGGTTGAGTAAACAGCAAGTGGCACCCATCCTTGTTGAATAGGTGGCCTCTGTGGCTCAGGAGAGTGACCACATGAGAGCCACCTGGCCCAGGGTTGAACTCTTGGCTCTGCTGTTTTGGCCTTCCTCTTCTATGGAGAGGGATAATGATGGCCCCGCTCCCTTCTCTGGCCGGGTGTATAGGCCTCTTTATATAGGGATGATGAAGCAATGATCAGTTTTTCCGTTCTTCCTGCCAGACTCATCCTGAAAGCGCACAGCCTACAGGCCGTGGTAGTAGTAATGACCTCTCTCAAGGCAGTTAGTTTAATGGCATTGTTAATTTTGTAGCCTTTAGTTCCTATGCCTGTAGGAGTAAATGGTTCTCTAAGAAGAGCATTAAAGGATGATGTATATGAATATCTAAGTGTTCATTAGGAGGATAAGGTAGTGTTTAACACTATGTACCCTGAATCTTTTAGTGTACAAAGTGTTTCAAGTCTTTCACTTTGCTGAGGTACACTACAAATTTCTAACGGAAGAATAGAGAATATAAATTTTAAAACCTCATTTGACCCTGGAGACACAAATATTGCTGTCACAGAACAGGCCACAGGACACAGTTGGGAATGATTGCTGTGCTACGTCACTTAAAAACATTTTGACTTTGACAGGATGCATCTTCCTGCAGGAGGGAATGTGGGTAAATGCATTTTCACTATGATTTTGAACAGATATTCCTGTTCCTCAGTTGTGCTGGTTTCTAGAACACTGGCAGAACTTTCAGCAGGGACGTTAGGGCCTGAAAAATGTAAGAGTTATACTTTGTGTTCCTGCTTTTTGTCCCTTTCAGGTAGAGTTTAAGAGCATGGTGTATGTATGGGTCCACATAATATTTATATAAGCACTGAATATATATATTCACACACACATACACATATAAACACAGCTCAATCAAGAAAGTAATATTAAATCCTCTGTGTCTGGCTCAAGTTGGTTTTGTAAAGCTATCTAATTTGTGTCTTAAATGTACAGAATTTCAGAAGCTTTCTTTTCCTTCATGTACTTAACATTTGAGCTGTGCATTTCCAAGAATTGATTGCTCTCCTGTGATGTGGATCTATTTGAGGGCTTTACTGCAACTTTCTATAAAATTGAAGGAACACCTTAATGGTCAATAGACAGCGATTTTTCTCTTCTAATTTCCATCACAGGAGAGGCTACTGTAGAGGTTTTGAGAATGATCTGAGTCTGAAATGGTCCTGGGTACGCATTACATATCCCCATAGGAACTCAGAGAATTGTTTCTCATTGCTTGTGTTGTGCAGCTAATCACCAGGGTCAAAGATACAAACTCAGCTCAAATGACTTAACCTTTCAATGGCTTGAGACAAAATGAACTAAAACCATGATTTATACTTCCAACATGATAGTACTTTCTTTGGGTGGCAGGGTAAGAGGTGAGAGCAGTGAAGAGCAGCTAAGGCAAGAGGAGGAATAGAAGTTATTTTTTTATACTAGACTATCCTGTTGTGCTCCGTAGCATCAGACATTGATGAGTCGTCGGTGATGCAGCTGGCTGAGATGGGCTTCCCTCTAGAGGCGTGTCGGAAGGCTGTGTACTTTACTGGAAATATGGGAGCTGAGGTGGCCTTCAACTGGATCATTGTTCACATGGAAGAACCAGGTAGGTGGGGAACAGTGAAATGACTTTGGGGTCTGAGGTTATCTTCAGTTATGCTAAGCTATGGTCCTTCCATCTCCCGTGTGGAGGTCTCCGGGAAATGACTCTTCAGTTCAAAATGTGCCACAGTTGCAAAGTTACAATCTTCAACTTTTCTCTCTCTTTTTTTAGATAGAATTCACCTCCTTTCAAATGTGTGGTTCTGTAGTTAAAAGAGCTTTAGATATAAATGAGATATCCTTACAGTAAAGAGATGATGAAGGCCCCAAATAAAAATATGTGCATGGAGAAATGGAGATGGTTTAGCTAGCTTTTATTTTTATTCACATCATTGAAATAGAGTTTGTATACAGTACCATACTGTTCAGTCGTATTTTAAAGCATTTATATATATATATGTTTATGTATATATATCAGTGTTTTTTTTTAGCAAATTCAAAGTGTTGTGCAACAATTATCACTACCTAATTTGAGAATATTTTTGTCACCTAAATGAAATCCTATGCCCATTAGCAGACACTCTTCAATCCTCTGCTTTCCACAGTGTCTGACAACTGCTAATCTCCTTATTGGATTTGTGGATTTTGAGCATTTCACATAAATGGGATCATTTGATATAAGATTTTTTGTGTGTGTCTCTTTTCTGCTTTGTAGTGTAATACTTTCAAGGCTCATAGCATAAATTAGTTTTCCATTCCTTTTTATGGCTGAATAATATTCCACTGTATGGGTGCACTGCACTTTAAGCATCCGTTCATCAGTGGCTAGACATTTGGGATGTCTCCACTTCTTGCTCTTATAAATACTGCTGTGGTAAATGTTTGCATACATGTTTTTGTGCAGACAAATGTTTTAATTTTTCTTGTATTTAATTGCTATGCCATATACCATATTTAAGTTTTAGAGGAACTGCCCAACTCTATTAGCTTTTCCAAAGATTTGTTTGAAATATAGAATGATGAGGGATGGGAAACAGATATGGAGAAAGAGAGAAATCTTTAGTTTCACTCCCCAAGTGGTAGGAACAGCTAAGTCTGGGTGAGGCTGAAGCCAGGAATTCCATTCTGTCTTCCTGTGTAGTTGGCAGAGACCTCAGTCATTGGACCATCTTTGACTGCCTGCCCAGGTGCATTAGCAGAAAACTGGATTGGAAGCAGAGCAGCTGGAACTTGAGCCAACATTCTTAGATGGGATGGTGACAAAACAAGTAGCAGCCTAACCCACTGTAGGACAACGTCAGCCTGCTTCCAAAGTGTTTTACACAGTGGATAAACCACTTTACATTTCCAGTAGTAATGAATAAGGGCTTTAGCTTCTCCACATCCTCACTGATTTTTGTTAATATGTTTTTTATTTAGCTTTTCTAGAGGTTGTGAAGTGATGTAGAGGTTTTAATTTGCATTTTCTAAAACATGATCCTGAATATATTTATACATTTCATATGTTCATTGATAAATGTATATTTTTGGAGAGATATCTATTTGGATTCTTTACCCTTTTAAAAAGTTCTATTTATTTTGAAAGGTAGAGTTACAGTGATACAGGGACACACACACACACACACACACACACACACACAGGAGAAATCTTACATCCTCCGATTCACATCATGAATGGCTACAATGGCCTGGGGTGGCCCAGCTTCATATGGTCTCCCAGTTGGTTGCAGGGGCCCAGGTACTTGGGCCATTGTTTGTAGCTTTCTCAGGCACACTAGCAAGCACCTGAATCGGAAGTGGAGCAGCTGAGACTTGGATGGGCACCCATATAGGATGCTGGATTTACTGACTGTGCCACAAGCATGGGTCCCACTTATTGTTAATGAGGTTATTGAGTTCCAAGAATTCATTAATTCTCTTACAGTAAAGAGATGATGAAGGCCCCAAATAAAAATATGTGCATGGAGAAATGGAGATGTTTTAGCTAGCTTTTATTTTTATTCACATCATTGAAATAGAGTTTGTATACAGTACCATACTGTTCAGTCGTATTTTAAAGTATATATATATATAAAGTATATATATATATACTTATATATATATATCAGTTACAATATATCTGGTTATAAGTCCTTATCAGGTATATGATTTCAGATTTTGCTTCCATTTCCTGCTGTCTTTTATTACAGTCTTGATCATGAAGCACATGTTTTTAATTTTGATGGGGTCCAATTTATGTTTTTTAAAAATTTCTTATCCCTTTTGGTTTTGTGTTATATCTAAGAAACCAATTCCTAACCTAATGTCCTGAAGATTTACCCCTATGTTGTTTTTCTAAGGGTGTTGTGATTTTAGCTCCGCTATTTGGATCAGTGATCCATTTTGAGTCACTTTTGTGTATGATGTGAAGTAGTGGTCTCGCTTCATTCTTTGTGGATATTTAGTTGCTTTCTATAGTTTGTTAAAAGTTTATGCTTTTTCCACTCTCTGGTCTTAAAAAAGTCAATGGATCATTGGTGTATGATTTCTTTTCAAACCCAAAGTTCTATTTACCGATTCTCCTGTGTCCTTGTACCAGTACCAGTCTGTGTTGGTTATTTTAACACTGTGGATATGTTGGCTTTTATCTTAGCTCTAAAATATTACTTATTTTAAGAAGAGAGGAAGTAGTCCTGAGTAATTGTTTTCTTCAGATTTTGCAGAACCACTGACAATGCCTGGTTATGGAGGGGCAGCTTCTGCTGGAGCCTCTGTTTTTGGTGCTACTGGGTTGGATAACCAACCGCCAGAGGAAATTGTAGCTATCATCACCTCCATGGGATTCCAGCGAAGTCAGGCCATTCAGGCACTACGAGCAACGGTGAGCTAGGAAGACTGTGTGTGTGTGGCTTGCATTTTTGTCAGGTGCAATGGAGCCATTCCAATGTGCTTTGATCCACTTTGACTCATGCAATCTACCTCGTAAACCCACATTAATTCATAAGAATTTATTTGCATAGGATACATAGAACTGGAGGAAATGATTGAGGGGAGTCATCCAGAGAGTTTCATCAGGATGACCCAAACAAAAGAAACTCCATGTTGTCTTGGATAGATATTTCTGAGGGTTGCAGGCTTGACTTGGTGCTTGCTTTTGGCCTCAGAACTAAAAGGGAGGTGCAGGAGGATGAGATTTTGCGGTCAACAAGAAAATTCTTTAGGTGGAAATAATGCTTGTCAGATACAGATATCTTGGAGAAATGCCCCTCGACAGTCTTCAGAGAAGGCTGAATGGCTTCTTGCAGTTTCTATTTCTGTTTCTCTTATCAGAGAGAATTTTTCTGATCATTAAATACCAAAACTAGTGTCTGTTGCCAGGTCACAGACGCCTTTGATGGGCTAATGGAAAGAGGGTTGTATGAACATTCTTACGCCCCGCTCCTTGTTTTTGTGTTTGACTGTTGTGTTGGAGTTTCTGACTCTGTTTAAAGAAATTCTATAACCCATCAGCAAAGTCACAATGATAGACAGAAATATTTTTATACTTGGTTGATTTGAACTACATGGAGGTCAATTTTAAGAGTTGTGCTTAACCTAACTAGTGTTGTCATCATTAATTCAGGCATTTCTTTTGTAATTGAGCAAATTCTACCTATGTTCAAGGAGAGGAGAGGCCTTCAGCACAGTGCTCACATTGGTAACTTTCTATCCTGTGAGTTTTCTGCAGAGAATACAGTTGGTAAAAAAAGGTCACGTGTGCAGTCACGGTGGCTCTTGCAAAGGCTGCACCTAAGCAAATACTATCCCTTTGACACTCTGCACCCGTCACTCTCAGCAGCAGCCTACAGAAATGCTGAGCTCAGGCTGATAAGGGCCATGGAATGATGATCTACTGCTCAGAACTATTTCCCAGGGCATCCAATTACAGATGATAACCTTGCAAAGTGCCAAGCTGCATGTTCCTATCACAGGTAGTGTCAGGGTTTTGGACACGGAGCACTTAGGACTAATGAACTCAACCCTCCTGCCCTATCTGCTTGACATCTGGTTCAAAAGCTCAGGCCATAATGAGGCTTGAGGACTGCATTCATTACAAAAATGTTTTCTTTTATTAGAGTAATAACCTAGAAAGAGCGCTGGATTGGATCTTCAGCCACCCAGAGTTTGAAGAGGACAGTGACTTTGTGATTGAGATGGAGAATAATGCCAATGCAAACATTATTTCTGAGGCCAAGCCTGAAGGACCCAGAGTTAAAGATGGATCTGGAAGTAAGTGAATGCCCAAGAGGCATGCTGGGAATTTGTGATGTGATGTTCAGATATGCCCTTCCCGGTAGTTAGTGAGTTCCTCCCATCTTGTCATGTATACTGCATTTTGTTACTCTGCATTGGTGATCTGAGAAAGTTTAGGGCAGCAGAGTCTTGCTGTCTCATAAGGTGTGTGCCTGTGTTTAACTGTAGCCGTGCTTTTAAGGTAAGATTTATTTGTGGGCCATGGAGATGTTTATGAAAAAGAAGGCTTCTTTTCACGTTATTTGTGGAACAGTGGACAAAGATCTTCTCATTACAGCAATTGCTGATAATATTGTGAGAGACTGAGAATGCTAGGAAAAAATTCTGTGGGCCCATATTCTCCATATAAATAGCAAATGCATTTATGTGACTGTGTTCGAAGCACTTGGCATATAAATACTCACCACAGATACTCGCCACACATAATCCTTACCATAGACAGTCAGTGAAAGGTAGAGGCACAGAGAGATTGGGTAGTTTAGGTCACACTGCTCTCTCCTTTTCTTTTAAATATTTTATTTGAAACACAGAGTTATGGGGGCAGGGTGGAGAAAAGGCCTTGATTTTCATCGGCTTGTTCATACTTCAAATGGCTGCACTGGGCAGGGTTGAGCCAAGTTGAAGCTAGGATCCAGGAGCTTCTTCCTGGTCTCCCATGTGGGTGCAGGGGTCCAAGGACTTGTGACTGTCCTCTACTGCTTTCCTAGGCATATTAGCAGGAAGCTGGCTTGCAAGTGGAACAGCTGGGACTCAAACAGGTACCCGCATAGGATGTTGGCATTGCAAGGGATGCCTTAGCCCACTGTGCCACAATGCTGGCTCTGATCACACTGTTGAGAGGAAGTGGCAAGGTGCGGAGGACAGTTCTGATCCTTTGCCTCTTGGGCAGTCAGTTGCCTATAGACTGCTGTTCTGGCGCTTTGTCTTGCTACTTGGCAACTCCTCCGATTTCCGTCCAGCCTATTTCATTTCCTTTCTGCCATTGCTCCAGTCCAGGTAACTGGAACCGTAACTAGTCCACTAGCCTATTCGGCCATCTTGTCTCACCTACCTCCAGAACATTGCTTGGATCAGTTCCTACTAGTAGATTGCTCACAACTAAAATCCTTACTGCTGTTCAGAATTTCTCTGGATTGCTCATCACAATCAGTTACCTCATAGGATAAAAATGAAAATGCCAGTGTCAGGGATCCTCCATTTGTGACATGAAGTGCATACCATAGCCATGCGAGCTGGGTGCCATTGGTCTCCTCATGCTAAAGGTAAAGAAAATGAGATAAAGAAGGCAAGGGACTTGCCAGGTACACATAGGAAGAGTGGGCAGAGCCAGGATTCCCTTTTAGGCAGTTTGCCTTTAAAGCCTGAACCTACGGCTGCTATGCTGCGTTATTTCTTCTACTCTTCTTAGGGGTGTCACATTGATCTTGCAGTAAAATCATTGTATGTTGACATTTGTGCTTTCTGTTTGGGAATTTGTAAAGTATAAAGGCCATTTTACTTTTATGAAGCCCATTGTGTCAGGAATGTACTGAGTAAATAATAGGATTTATATCAATCTATATTAGCAGTATGTGTTCCTGTAATCGTCTATTTGCATCTCTGTATTAATTGTCTGTATGGGTTAATCTGGAGAGAGTGTTGGAGGGATACTTTCTTCTTCTTTTTAAATAAAAGCTCCCCACCCCAAAACTCTTAATCCTAACAAGATAAGAAAAGGGTAAGATATAGTTCTCTTAGCATTCACATCAGCACAGATGGGGAAGAGCCAGCCTGTGGGCTGAATAAAGCCAAAAGAATCATTTGGTATGGTCCTGCCAAGTCAACTGCAGGCAGGACTTGAAATTCAATAATTCCACAGCAGACTAATTTTTAGTTTGATACTTTTATATGTTCCATCAATGATGTCATACATATCCAGACGGCCCTTGGCAGAAAAAAAGGTTCACCACCCCTGTAAAGGTCTTGTATCACATTGCAGTCACTGGCTTGCTTAAAGTAAGGAAAGCTGTAATGGACAGGTGATTTTATTACTCATGAGCAGGATTTATTGCATTCGACATGTACAGCAGCTCGCTGCTTTGTTGGTTTTCTTAAGGCACTTTTCTTGGATGAACCTTCTCAGAGAAGGCGACACTACCTTGCCATGAGTCCGTAGGGCAGCCTCAAGAGCATCTGGCCATAGAGTGAGGGATGGTTTGGCCAGAACGTTTTCCTTTCTTTGGATAGAACTTATTGGCACAACAACCCACTCTTTTCATATGTCAGAAGTGATAATGCACAGCCACTTCTTCTCAGGCTTGTGTGTGCTCCTCAGGGCACCTGCGGCTGGTCCTGTGGCTGGATCTTCTGCTACATCCTTGAATAGGATGTTAGGATGAGGGCTTCTCTCTCTCTCTCTCTCTCTCTCACACACACACACACACACACACTCTCTCTCTCTTCCTCTCTTGCTCCCTTCTCCCTCTCTCCCTTCCTTCCTTCCTCCCTCCTTTCCTTCCTTCCTCCCTCCATCCCTCCCTTTCTTTCTCCTTCCCCCTTTGTCTTTCTCTCTCACTTCTCCTTTTCCTTCCTTAGTACATTGAAAAATAAATTATTTCATATACACGGACACACATGGAGAGTGCTCCCATCTGCCAGTTAGTTGTTAAAATACCTACAGTCGTTGGGACCAGGCAAGCTGAAGCTGGGAACCAGTAATTCAATCCAAGTCTTCTACATGGGTGATAGACCCAATTACTTGAGCCATTACTGCTACTTCACAAGGTCTATATTAGCAGGAAACTGGAGTGTGAGGACATTTTAATAAGTGAAACAAAATTCTAGTGCTTATGATGCTCTATTTTATCCTGGGATGAAAGGAGATAGACAGTAAATAAATGCAAAAGTAATTATGTGACATAGCAGGTGTTAATTCATGCTACATGGGCAATAAAGCAAGATGAGAGAATTGAGGAATAACAGGAGGGTAGTTCAGGAAGCCCTCCCTGCTGAGGGGCATTGACCTGAGATCTCAGTGAAGGGAGGGATGAGTCGTGGGGCATTGAAAAAGGAGTTTCATACAGGAGCAAGACGAACTGTGAGAGCTGGAAGGCCAGGACATGCCAAATGTGCTTAAGGAGAAGCCGGTGTGGCTGGAGTGGTTTCAGAGGGAGAATGAGAGGAGGTGAGGGGACGCCTAGACCTCTGCAAGGGTCAGATTGTTCTCTGAGATACAGGAAGCTTCTGTAGGGCTTAGAACAGAATGACCACAATTTGGCTTCCAGGTAACAAAGAACCCTCTGGCAGACACATGGATAGTGGTCACTAGGGGGTGAGGGAGGAAGCGGGGCAGTCCAGCTAAAACTCTGTAGTTATAATTCAGACAACTAAGTGGGGACTTGGATCAGGGTTACTTATGGAGGAGAGAAGAAACTGTATTCTGGATATATTTTGAAATAAATGCCAATAGATTTTGTTAGTGGGTTGGATGGGTATAAAGAGTGTGAGAAAGAAGTCAGACTTTTGTATTGGATTGTCAGACTGAATTATAACACATTGAGGTAGATTAGGCTAAAGGGAGAATGCTGAACAAACTAGGAATGGAAAAGAACTTCCTCAGTCTGTTAAAGAACATCTACAAAAACTTGCAGCTCCCATCCTACTGAATGTGAAAGATTGAATGCTTTCTCCTGAGACTGGGAAAAAGTAAGGAATCCCCTCTTGCCACTTTTATTTAACAGGGCACAGTAAGTTCTAACCATTGGAAGAAGACAAGCAAAAGAGGTAAAAGGCATCTAAATGACCAAAGAGGGGGAAAAACTATCTGTTTTAACATGGCATGATCTTGTATAAAGAAAGCCTTAAGGAATCTGCTAATAAACTATTAGAACTAACGTTTGGATTCATCAAGATTGTAGGAAGACCACTTTCACCCTGTAGCCCTTGACCCTTTGTACCCTAATCAACTAAGATTATTAAAAAAAAAAAAAGATTGCAGGAAGAATGTCCACATACAAAATCCAATTATATTTCTATGTGCTAGCAATGAACATTTGGGAAATGAAATTAAGAAAACAAGGCTATTTGCTGCAATGAAACTGGATAGTAACCCCTAGAGGGGAAGACTGGAAAAAAGGGAAATGAAAGATGGAGGGGTCTGAGCCTCAGGTCAGCGGTATTCAGAGGTCAGAGGAAAGACAAGGCAGACTGTCCAGTGGGGCAGCTGCAAAGCTGAGAGTGATGTCCTGAGAGTGAACAGCAGAGGGAAGGGAGCCCATCAGCAGCATGGCAGGTTGCTAAGGGGAAGCATGAGCTCAGTGAGGGCTGACAGCTGAGTAAGTGAATGAGCATGTATGACAAGAAAGGATCAGGGGAGGGAGTGGAAGAAAGAGTCTGTCCAGAACCAGTCATTTTGGAAAATGTAATACAAACTGAGTACTAGAAAAAGGAATATCCACACCACTTTTTCCTGATAAAGTCAACATTTAAATATTATCCTCAAAGAACTGTGGAAGCTTATAAACTCACTCTGTTTTTGTTCTAGCTTACCACAGTCTGTAATGGCTTCCTGAGTGGACTGCCTCTAGTGTATGGCGCCCACTTGGTGCTTTGTGGATCTGGATTAAAGGAGCATGAACTGAAATTGATTCCACATGGGTTTGATATAGACTGCTATACTTAGTGTCAGGAGGTGCTGGTTAAGAGAATGGACATTGCTTTCACCTTGTGTCTAGAATTTGTAGATCTGTTCGGAAGGCTGAAGACTGAAGTTGGGTCCAACAGCGATGACACTCAGAGACAAATCAGAAATATTGGATGGACTGCTAACCCTTCCTGCACATGATCATAGCTATCTGCTGTTTTATAGTTTGACATTTGTGTAGTATTTTAGTCTGAAGTCTCATCTCTGGGAAGCATTTAGATTAAAACTATCCTTTTAGATCTACACATTTGCTATCATACTACAATGTGGGATTTTTCTCTTCTAGCTTTCAATTTAGCAGTAGATGTGCTCTGATGATTTATGTCCTGCCTCTGTTATTACAAGTTTGTAGGTTCAATTTAGTGTTAGTGCCTCTGTGTGTGTGTGTGTGTGTGTGTGTGTGTGTGTGTGTGTGTGTGTGTGTTTGTGTGTGTGTGTATTGTTAACATAACAAAACAAATTTTAAGCAGTTGTTGGTTTACTAGACTGCATATTGTTGGTTTAAAATTCTGGTCAGCAATACCCTTGATCCTTAGAAATTCTGCTTTGTAACTGAGTTGTTTCCTTTTTCACAGTGTATGAATTATTTGCATTCATCAGTCACATGGGAACATCTACAATGAGTGGCCATTATGTTTGCCATATCAAAAAAGAAGGAAGGTGAGTCTTCTTTTAGAAGTTAATGATTGCTTGGTACCTACTCTATTATATGCTGGGCACTCCACTGGGGGCTTTGTAAGGTTATTGTATCCGATTCTCATGTTGGTCTTGTAGGATGCACTCTTTAAATTTTTATTTATTTATTTAAGATTTATTTATTTATTTGAAAGAGTTAAGGAGAGAGAGGAAGAAACAGGGAGGGAGAGCTTTTCCATCCACTGGTTCACTCTTTAGATGACTGCAATGGCCAGGTCTGGGGGAGGCTGAAGGTAAAGAGCCATGTGTTTGGGCCATCTTTTAATATTTTTCTCATGTAAGTAGCAGGGAGCTGGATTGGAAATGAAACAGCTGGCACAGGAACTAGTGCCCACATGGGATGCAGGAATTGCAGGTCGTGGCTTTATACATTGGCCCCAGGAGTGTACTTTTAAAGGCTATTGTATAGATCAAGACACTGAGATTCAGGAAAACTGACTGGCCTGGCCTTTCGTAGTAAATAGCCATGTCAGATCTTATATTTAAAACCACCCTTAGCCTTCATAGCAAGGTGACTTCTAAAATAACACATCTGTAGGAGAATGTATGCCATATTTGGAGCCTCCATTAGGTTGTCATATAGAGCCAATAAGATAAGAAAGCCAGGATGCACTCTAGAGTATAAATTTCAGATAAATACCAACTGTTTTTTTTTCTTTTTAATATAAACATGTTTCAGTTACTTTATAGAACACACTTCTATTGAAAATTTGAAAATTGTTTTGCCTATTTGATGTTCAAATTTAGCCTGGTAACCTATGTTCCATTTGACAACCATAAACTGTAGTTCTTTGCAGTGTAGTTTTTTCTCTTCTTAAAGGGACTGTTAGTTTTGTGTTTGAGAAGGAGATAGTTATGGAGGGGAAGACCACTGCTTTCTTCAGAACCTTCCCCTTAGTGCCCTTCCTGCGGTTTACTACCATGCAGCCGATACATACTTGTCTCCTGGCAGAATGTTGGCCTGACCCTCCGTGCTCTCTGTTGCAAAAGTGGCTAGTTCCCGCACAAGCTCAGTTGAGTTTGTTCAGTGTTTGTCTTTCAGTTTTGTCTTCTCAACTTGATTATTGAAACTAGTTGAACACAAGGATTAATTCATTTCACTTCCAGGCTTGATAACTATTTTAAGGATGGTATTTGGGTAGGCATTTGGCCTAGTGGATAAAATGCCCGTTACCATATCCACACATTCTGACATTAGAGTACCCAAGTCTGACTTGGCTCTGCCTCCTGACTCCAGCTTCCTGCTGCTTATACAGACCCTGGAAAGCAACAATGGCGGTCCAAATAATTGAATTTCTGTTACTGATGTGGGAGACTTGGATTAAGTTCCCACCTCGGGCTTCAGCCCCAGCCTTGCCTTGCCTTGGCCATTGAAGGTAGTTTGGGAGTGAACCAGCAGTAACAGTATATCCACTCTGTCTCTTAATAAATAAATTATTAAAAATGTTCTTTCAGGAGAAAAATCGCTATGTTATAATTCAACAGCAACAAAATTTATGACAATGAATTCATAAAATACAAAACATATAGGATATGTACTTTAGAAATTAGCAATAACAAGTATCTACATTGTTTTGATCTCATTGGAGGAGGATATGTGGATTTCTATACAGATCCATACTATATATAAATAGACCTGCACAGGTATTTGCATTTGGGGATTAAAGTTGCAAGGGGAAGCTCTTACTTCTGCCCTTGATGATGTGGACTTAGTGTGAGGACTCAGTTCATGTCTTCTTCATGAGTGGCAGGCACCTGAATATTTGAGGCAGCACTGCTGACTTCAGGGCTTGTATCAGCAGGAAGCTGGAGTCAGGAGCAGCCCCAACTACTTAAGCCAGACACTCTGACACCAGATATGGGCGTCTTAACTGTCTTCTGAACTGAACCAAATGCCCAAACCGCAGACAAGCTTAATTCTTTTAGCTACTTTGTGTGTAAGACTGCAATAAACATTGTTATAAACAGACTTTTTTTGCTTCAGGTATCAGGCTATGTAGTGATTTTTACAAAGGAAATGATGAGATAAAGGCTCCAAAATGTTTGGAAGTTCCTATTATATTTTAGTAGCTATCTTTTGATCCAAACGTCAAAAAGCAGTTGTGATTTTCCCAAGATTCTGTTACTTTTCTTTTTTTTTGTATTACAGACTTGAATTTGGTGATCTGAAAACATCTTGGTTATTTTAAGTGTTATACTCCATACGATGCTGTAATTTCTTTCTGCAGTTTGGCACTGGCTTACATCTGTTCAACTCTTCTGTCTTTTGTTTTCAGATGGGTGATCTACAATGACCACAAAGTTTGTGCCTCTGAAAGGCCCCCTAAAGACCTGGGCTACATGTATTTTTACCGCAGAATACCCAGCTAAATCTCGGACATACAATTTGGCGAGAAGAAGCCATATACCTTTTTAATTTGCCAAGGGGGAAGAAAAAAAAGAGATTGGGACAACCAGATATGAAGGAAATGAAGGAATACATGGGGTATTTATAACTTACTAAAAGAGCAAGATCATTTGACACCTCCTGAAATACAACTGGGAAGAAAGTTCTATTAGTGACAATACATTGTTGTAGATAGTTTTTATAAATGTTCAAGGAGGGGAGGATATTAAAAAAAAAAGTATTCTTGTTGCTGGTGAGGCATCTTCCATTGGCAAACTCTAAGTGGCCCCATGGTCCCAGCCCTCGATCTTGCTTTGGGACCCAGTAGCAGTGGTTTTCAGAAAAATCAGTATGGTAGGTGGTGTGGCCTCACCCACAGTACGAAAAAAGCCCACTTTTGTTTCCTAAAGAAAATCGGTAACTGGGCTGGGCTTTTTGTGACTTTTTTTTTCATTGCACACAGTAATTTCGATCTACCCTTGTATAATAGAGCTTTGGCAATGAGAGGTATTTTTAATTTAAATCATATCAAACTTCATGATACAGTTGTGTGAGTGTATGTGTGAATGAGTCCGGATGAGTGTGTGAGACCTATGTAGTTCCCTAGAAAATCTGTGAGGAGTTGACTTTGAAAGGCTAAATAGTTGGTGTTCGACATATCTAGAAAAGGCAAGTAAATATTTTAACAAAACTACAACTCAGGAACAGTTTAAAAAATTAGTTCCCCACCTAGAATTTGAAGGAGTGATGAGGGTTGCATTATGCCTGGTATTGCTATCAAGGGCTGGCCTGGTGCGAGGCCAGAAGTCCATAGCAGTGCAGCATGGTATTCTGTCAAAGGTAGACGCGCTGCACTTTTCAGCAGCCCTTTCTCAAAAAGTAGAAGGTTTGATTTTAGTGAGAGGAGCTCAGCTCTTCTTGCCTTAGCACATGAGGACTGCTTGGAGTCATGGTCAACGCCTACATTTGTCTGTAGTCTTCCCAGAGCTGAACTCTGTGCTGGCTTTTCACCTCCTGGCCTGCCTTGACTGCTTCTCTGCCTCTGGCCAACAGTTGGATCTTGGACTCTTTAAGGAGTTCAGCTGCAAAGAAACATATGCAGCATTATGAAGGAGCATCCTTTCTATTTCGGTTATCTGGTTATTTTAGTCTTACAATTTGAGATTAGATCAGGATTTCAAATGAGATGATAAGTACAGCCATAACATTCTCTGACTTTCCCACTGTTCTACTCCAGATTCCAGAATCTCTGGAAGCTCTATTTTAGATGATTCAGACAAATGGAAAAGGATTTATTTCTGTCTGTCTAGCATATATTTGGTTGAAAGGATCTTTCTAGAAACTGTAGGAAAATAACAGAACCAATGGCTGAATTAAAGCAAGACACTGGATTAATATGTGGTGAATTGTAAATAATCAGGGCTCTGGGCCCCTGTCACAATAGTTTTCCTATATCATGTTTGTGGGGCCTCTGGCCTAGAGACCTGGGTGCTGCCCCTTGGGAAAACCTCGTATCCTCCTTGTGCCTCATTTTTTTTTCCCCATCTGTACAATGGTGTGATAACACGAGCCCTCTCTTCCCAATTGTGCTTTGAAGCTGCAGTGAGATTTGACACAACAAGCCCTCCAGGAGCAGGAGGTGGTGTGCGCTGGTGGATTCCAGTAGAGCATGCTCCTTGTCTTCTCCCATCTGATATGTTCTTCCATTGGAGACAAGTGAGATGGGCAGAAGCGAGGAGCTCATGGTGCAGTCAATCTCTACTCCACTGTGCCCACGGTGTCACCGTCTCCTGTTACCTGGGGATTCTGAAGCAGTCTTGCTCTGTAACGGGAATCCCTGGCTCCGGGGGGAATCCCCATGTTAAGCAGCCTTACAAATTCTAGTCCATTTGGGCTGAGTATCATAGAACAAAGACTCTGAATACATATCAAAAATGGTTTGTTTTCAGTGATGTTAGGAGACAAAGGCCTTTTTTGAGGGGGAGGGAAGGGTGGTTGGGGACTTGGATTGAAACTTGGAAAAAGATAGCATGTGTATTTTGAACAAAAATTTTTAAGGAAACCTCACTGTAAAATCAGTACGTAAGATGATATACTACAAATTATTTAATTTCCCTAAGTAGAAAAGGAAATGTAGCCCTTCTAATGCCTGCACATATTATAAGAAAAAGATTTTGGCTGCCTTTTTTTCTGCCTCACAAAACAAAGGGCTATTTCTACAAGGCTCAACTTGTCCATGTGAGAGTCTATTTCATATTGAGAGTTGGGGAAAAAACTGGAGCAAACACCTGGTTTCTTTCTTGCTTAACAATGTGTTTGTGTATCATCATATAAGCAGATTTCCCTGGAATAAACGTCTGGAATGTTTTGCTTCATTTTATATACATGTGTGTAGTTGAGATCATTTGTGACTGAAAACTGGATTACTGTGTGGATTGTCATCCGACGATCAGCCCATTAGGAGTTCCTGCCAAAAGGCGTGATGGTAAAATTGTGAAGTCCTCACTGTGTGTAGGTGTCTGCGTGAGAGACAGCAGTTTCTTCTTGTACATATCTTTTGGTATCCATTTGTAGAATCCCAATGAATGTGTCTCTGAAAAATGTGATGTATCAAAGTTTTTATTTTGTCAACTGACCTGAATATCCATGTAAACAATTCTGAAATGCTCCTTGGTTCATTGTCTCTCTCAAGAATAACAACAACAGACAATCTATGTGAAACACCCTCTTAGAAAAGCCTCAACACAGCCTTCAGGTGCATCTATAACTTTTAGCAGGATATCTGCACTTTCTCAATCAGTGGCAGCGTGTAAGTGCTGATAGAGTTGTCTGTTTCGGCAGGAATGTCCTGTGCATCAGACAGAGAAGGCTGTTGTGAAGTCCCATCATCACTACAGGCTATCTGTGGGGAGCAGGCAGGGAGCAGAGCAGGACTGGAAGGTGGAATTAGAGAAAATGTGATTTTGCCTTTTACTTGAGATCAAAAACCTGAGCTTACAGAACAAGGTTCTGTGCTCTTTGGTTGGTACACACGTTTCATGCAGTGTCAAGGAAATGTCCTATTTAGTAACTCATTCTGCAAAAATTTGCCCAAAAGTCTATAGATTTGTGCTATTCAGTGTGGTAGTTAATAACCACATGTGACGAATGACCGCTGGACATGGAGCCTGTCCATATTTTACATGCAAAATATGCCACATCTTAGCGATATGGCACCTTAAAAAGCATAAAATAACTCACAGTATTTTATATTGATTTTATATTATATTTTATATTGATTACAAGCTGGAATTAAATCATTTTGGACTAATAATTGGCTAAAATATGAATACATTTAATAAATGTTAAAATTATTTTATTATTATTAAATTATTTTATTATTTTTGTTTTTTCTAATGTGACTACTAAAAAGCATTAAATTGGGCACGTGTCTAACACTGCATTCTTATTGGGTGGTACTGCTGGTGGATTTACATGATGTGGATAAGGCAGTGGATGGGAATGAAATTCTATGATGCATCCAAATAAGCAGAAGGAACACAAATAGTTTTACAGGAGTCAGAATGCTGTATTGCACAGAATTTCTCTTAGAAAGCCAGTCTGTGAACTAAAAACCGGTATATAAGATCTCAATGGAAAACAAGACAAGACAAAACAAAACAAACAGGAAATGAGTCTTGAGCTGCCTTCGTCAGCTTTTCCTTGGAGCTTCCACCTTTGAACTTCTAGCTCTGCCAGGTGCCAGGTTTGCTAGCCATGGGAGGGTATTGGGCATATTGACTTCATTGTAGGCACCAGGCTCTTGTAGGCTCCTCTCCCTAAGTGTTGTCTGGTCTGTGAAAAGCTGAGTCTGCTGGTACCCTGTGAAAATCTCATCACTCTCGATGTGCTGTGTCTCTTAGCCTCTGCTGAGGCTGAGCCTGACACCTGTGCTCGCTTGCCCAGTAGGTTGGGATGTTGGCTCTGGAAAGTGTTTGTATTCCTATGATTTTGCACAGTTGTTTAAAGCTGTCTCAATTGTTTTGGGAGTATATTTACCTGTGTTGGAAAGAGAGATGGATGATTTATTGCTTCGATTGTTTTAAATTAAAAGCTATTCTCACAATCTCAAGTTCCCTTATGACTCTTTTTTTTTTCTTTCAAAAAATACCAGTGACAGTTCTCAACCATCAGTGGAGCAGCAACTTGAGGTGATGACTAATTTGATGTTTAGGGTCTGTTGGTGTCTCTGTGATTGCTGTCAACAGTGGCCCATTGGAAATAGTGTAGTGTTATCTCTGTGCAGGAGGATGAGGCCAGGGAAGGGATAGTCTGATGTCTTTTTTACTTTCTCTGAGTGGTAAGACCTCTTTGAGACTCCCTGGCTCTCAGTATACTGGTGGCTTCCTTCATACAGGTCATAGCAGAATGGACACAAGTTGTACCAAGTCTTCAGCATTGCCATGATGCCATGTCTCTAGGGAACTGGGAGCTTCCTATTGCTGCTTTGACAAATACAAACTTAGTAGTTTCAAATAATAAGCTACTGATTAGTAAGGTGTGTATCTGAATGTTAAAATCACTGCATTCTCAGGAAATCTGCAGGAGAAAATCTGTTCCTGCTCTTCTAGTTTCTAGAGGTGCTGACAATCCTTGGCTCGTGGCCTCCTAACGGCATTGTCCGCATGCACTACAGTTTATGTTTCCAACATTTGTCTCCCTGGATGGAGACTCTCTTGCCCCCTTTGTATAAGGAAGCAAGATTACACTGGATCCATCTAGATAATACAGAATATTCTTCCTGTCTCAAGATACTGAATCACACCAGAAGGTCTCTTTTATGATGTAAGGCAACATGTTCCCAGGTTTTGGAAGTTAGAATGCAGATAATTTGGGGAGCATTGTTTTTGCCTATCACATAGGACTGCTTGATTGTTTTCAAAATAACTTCCACTTAAAGCTCCAGATTTCTAAAGGAACAAAGCTGTATGTATTTCAAAATCTAGATAAATGACTGACTTCAGTGCTGTCTTATGTTTTGGTGGAGGGACATGAAAAGAAGAACGTGCTTTGGGTAGTGAAGGATTGTTTACTGTTCAAAGAACAGTGAAGACTTGAGGATAGTATTTGGAAGATATATGCCTATGCGATCTATCCCATCATGCCAACTGGGAGCGTTTCAATGTATGTGCTGTTCAAATTTTGGTTCTGCTTTTCAATGTAACCAGTGACGTATTTCAATTGTGGGACACTTTAATGAAAAACCGAGCTATTCTTAAACCCCCTTTTAACCGATAGTAATAATATCTTTAAAAAGTCATTCATGGTAGTCATGAGGCAGGGTGGTGCAGTGGGAACAGTGGAGGCATGGAGCTAAAGTCATCATGTAAACCAGGCCACTATATGACTGTAGTATACACTTAGTATCCCGAGATTCAATCTTTTCTACACAATGAGCATAATAGTACCTGAAACGGGTTATGGAAAGCTTCTGACAATCTAGTGGGCAAAGGGCATTTTTGCATCACCATGTCGTATATATAATATTCTGACCCTATGTAGCTGTTGACCCTTTCTTCCAATGTAAAAGATTAAAAAAATTAAAATTTACTTGTATTGATGAGTTCTTTTTTTCCTCAAAAGTATTCTTCTGGAGATAATTCCATGAAACCAATTTATTTTCTTAATCTGTATATGCTATTCATCATTTAATAAATAGTGGGATCTGTGTGCTGTGCTTCTTTTCTTCTAAGAATGTGTTTTTTTCAACAAAGTAGAGAAGGTCCTTGACCTTGCTGAATTTATTTTCCCGCAGGAGAGACACATGCTGAACATAAAAAGTAAGTATGGTTAAACGACTCGTACAATGGAAAAAAGAAATCATAGAGCAGGGGTGGGGGACAGATGGTGGGACAAGGAGGATTTTTGTGGATCATCTGGAGGTGAGATGTGCATGTAGACTTGAAAGGAGTGAAGGAGTCATCCAAGTGGATGTTTGGAGGAAAAAGAATGTTTGGCAGAGGTACTAGCTGGAGAAGAGATCTCTTGGAGGTGGCATACCTGGTATGTTAGAGGCGTGATGAAGGGACAAGCATGGCTCAAGAGTGGAGTGAGGGAGAGCAGGTCAAAAAGAGGCTGAGTGCCTGGGCCTGGGCTTGACTTTAGAGTTCACTGGGAAATCCTTAGAGGATCTTGAGCAGAGCAATGACCTTATTTGACCATGGCCAAAAGTTCCTTGTTTAGATTGGATGGTAGAGGGACAAGGATAGAAGCAGGACTCCTGTGGTAAGCAAGGTGAAAGGATGATGGATTGGACAAGGTGGTAGCATTAGAACTAGTGAGGGAAGTCAGACTCTAGATATATTTGAAGCTAAGACCAGCAGGCATGCAACAGAATGATAACTAGGGTTGACCCTAACAGTTTTGCCCTGAGCAACTGAAGAATATAATCGCAATTAATTAAGGCTTGGAAAGATTGAAATGGCAGTGGTGGAGAAAGATAATTTTGAGTCCAGTCTATTGCACTTCCTTGGTTAATGTTCAGTTGGAAGCCAGATACACAAATAATATTTTGGGAGAGCGTTCTGGGCTAAAGATGTAAATGTACATGTTGGTGGTATCTAAATGGTATTTGAAGCAATGGGATTGGTTACAATCATCAATAGAGGGAAACAGGAACTAGAAAAAAGTCCACAAAGTGAAGAGTCTCGTCAACATTAGAAGTCATCAAGAAGATGAGACAGCAAAGGAGTCTGAGAGGTGGGACTTCCCAAGTGCAGTCAGACCAGGACAGTGGTGCTTGGGGTGGAAGCCAAGTGAAGGAAGTGTCTTGTATAACTGAGAATTATTAATTGTCAGCTAGCTGAGAGGTTAAGGAAATGAGGACTGAGAACTGACTATGATCCTGATCAACTTTGGAGTTCATGGTTGACTTCTGCAGGAGTAGTTTTACAGAAGTAGGCTAAGGAGAGAATGGAAGGAGAGAAATTGTCTATGATGAAGACATGTAAGGAATTATGTAACAAATGGAATAAAAAATGAAAGGGCTGCTGACTGAGAAGGCAGGAAAAGACCATGTGATTTTTATTTCCAAATGTGAGAAATAAAGTGGTCAAATAGAAAAGGAAAAACAGGCTTTAGGAGAGAGATGGAGAATTGCTGGCTCCATTTCCTTTGGGGGCATATAAGAGGGATGGGATCTGGTACCGAAGTGAGGAACTGGCTGAGGCAGGGGTGTGGAGTGATCTGTAGCAAAGACAGAAAGATGGGCAGTGATCATGAGCACAGGCCTGGAAGTTCTCTCCTGCCCCTTTGGTTTCGCCAGTGAGGTAGGAAATATTAGTTGAGGGAGTAAGGGCAATTTAGTGATTTGAGGAGGAGAAAAGATGTGAAGTAGTTATTCAACTAGACATGTATCCCAAGCTTTTAGAGTTTTCTATTTTAATACAGCTAGTATAATTAATATTGATTCTTCCAATTTTATGACATTCATCAGTTAGTTTTCAGCCTTGAATGGATCTTATGTATTTTCTTTAGCTGTTGCAAATTCCCTGTTACAGCCATTATTTCAACTGTGTCCAGCTTTTCCAGATCAAATTTTGTAAATCTAAGTGTTGTCAAACAGATTTTGTTACTTTTTTGCCTACTTCTTCCTGGATCAGTTTTCATAGCATTTAGTATTAGATGTGTTCATTGTGGGTTTTTTTAATTACAGTTTTACTCATCATTTGCAGTAATATTAATTACAAGTTGGATAAAATTATCAGGCACAAACAGGGGATATGGCTACCCATTGGGGTTAAAGAGTAGTGTGGACGCCTGTGACTCAGAATCTGGCATAGGGTAAGTTTGGGTACATGTTGGCTTCCTTTCTGTGTCCACTTCAAAGGGCTTTGGCTGAGAAGATCGCACTGCTGCTGTCTACCCACTTGGACTCAGGCCAGCAAACCTGGAGGTCACTTGGAGGACCAATAGTGTAACTCCTCAGTGAAAAATACTAAGATTAACCAACAGTTCCTCAAATTCTGATTTCTTGAGGCACTTATCATGTGACATTATTTATTAGGGGCTATAAATGACAAAGCCAGAAAACATGGCCTCTGAGGTGTTGGATAATGAAGATGCTACCTAAAGAAGCTTTGTAAGGCAATATAAAGAACTCTTCCCCACCTCAGACTGCTTTTATGCACACAGAAAAGAAGCGGTTATTTTAGAAAATCAATAGAGTTTAGAAAGTGGAAGTAGGTGACATAAAAAGCCTCGGGTTCTTCCAGGGGTGAGGGAGAAGATGGACGGATTCTGACCTTGTGTGGCACAGCAAGTAGTACAAATTGTTTTCTGTTTGGTTTGAAGTGATTCTGACTTCTAAATTCTATTGTGAAAGATTTCTAAGAAGACTTTGAAGCCACAGACAAAGTTTATTTGAAAACATAGTTTAAAATTGCACAGATATAAATACAATTTAATAAGGTGAAAAAGGGAAGGCATGCTTCCAATAATAGTACAAAAATACTACCTTAGTTATGGTTCTTTGCAAATTATAAGCCATCTGAATAAATTAAGCACATCAATATGATCAGGGGTTATTTTTAGAATAGTGATTTTATTTCAAAGAGCAATGCAGTTATGTTATGGTACATATTTCACTAAATCACA